AAGAAATGGGTAGAAAAATAAATTGCATTATAAGCGATTAAGTAATTCCTTTAAAGTTATATAAAAAATTTTCTACTTAAGCAGGTTTATGTTCGACTTTTCGTTTTATTTTAAATGTTTGAACATTTTTCTTAGTGATTTATTTCCTGAAACTATTTTTTCGAGTACAATGGTAAGTCTGTAGCTTTCAAAGAAATGCCAGATTAAGCAATTAATTGATGGAATCGGTGAATATTTGTTTGCCTTGCCAGCCGCTTAAAGCAGCAGAGATCTGCCCCTAAAAGTCCAATCTGAAAACGCAATCTAATTGATGAAGGATTTTGCTAACCGAGCTGGCAGTTGCACTCGGCTCTGTCATAAATCCTCAAAAATCAACGCACTGATTAACGGACGACAAATGCGTCGACTACGTGTTGCGAATCCGGATGTGGATGACGATGACGATGAGGATGAGGATGAGGACAAAAATGAGGACGAGGATGCGGATGATGGAAGGCTGTAGCACTAAATGAGAAATGAGATTTGCCGGGGATGAGGACGAACGGATGTTGGCCGCAAAACTAGCCGAAACTCCATTTCGTTACAATCTGTGCGGTTGACCTTTGATTAGCAACAATAAAAGTGCTGATTGCCGGTCTGATTGAACCACCTAGCTCTCCAGCTATCCATCCTGTGGGTCGAATTATGTAGATTTGATGAACACATTTTAGATTGAAAACGGACACCCGCAACAATATTTTGTGCAATCAAGGTGGTTCCTGGTGGTGGTGGGTTGGCAAAACCAAGAGGCCATGGCCCGCCAATCTGGGCGGCAAACATAACTAACCTGTGGGACCAGCAGCAAAAGCAGTGGAAGTGGCGGTGGCAGCGGCAGTGGCAGCGGCAGCGGCAGCTTGTTGTGCAATTTTGATGGCCCATAAAGCTGACTTTGTTCGGTTTAGTGGCCGTTGCTAGGCGAGTTACTCTCAACAGTTTTCCGGGTTTTATGTTTGATTTAACGGCAGTTCGAAGCTGTCGTTTCGTGTTTGCCTTCCATTTGGCCCGGTTGCCGGGCAGGGACTATTCATCCGATACGATTCGAAGGATACCAGTCCGTAGTCCGCAGTCCACAGTCCGCAGTCCAATCTCCCAATTTCCCAATCTCCCACACTCGCCCAGAAGTATGCACCACATTTTTCAAAGCAAACATTTTCCTTCGCACTGGGAAAATAAAGATTTATGTAAAATTTGACGCGTAAAGTTCAACAAAAGCAAACCCATATTTCCCAGCATTTCTCCTAGAAAATTTCGTATATTTATTTACCTTTTTTGCGTTGCTGCCATGTGCTTTGTGTTCCCGAAATTATGCAAATTCATGCAGGATTTTTACAGCACTGCGTGGACCGCACATAAAGCCCAAAACTCGTGTGGGCGAAATTTTCAGGACTTCAGCCTGGTCAAAGGCGAAATCTGATGGCTTTCATCGAATCCGAAGGCGAGTGCCATAGATTGCCTGACATTTGTCAAGAGTCAAGGGCAGAAAAGTGAAAGGCTTTAACATTTTCACATGTTTCTAGTTTGGTGAAAATCACACTCAACAGTTGTCTGGCTAAAATGAGACTTCTATCCGGCAATGCATCAAAGTCCGAAAAAGGGAATGGTTAATGTCCATGTTTGAAAACACCACTGTCAAAAAAAGGAGGAATATCTATAAAGGCAGCCTTAATTATGAAGAACTTAGGTTTAAAATAAATATATAATAATATATTGTATAAATTGTATCAGATTGTTGTTGAAGTTACAAGAACTACAACGTATTCAAATATATCCCATTTGTTATCAAAGGGTTGCTGAAATTTTTCAGCGTGTTTTGGTTGAAGGGTTCCGCATGAATTATTCGCATGATGCCAATTTACGGAGCCATGTCCGAATGGAAAATGATTTACAGCGCCAGCAGCTCTCCAGATCCGATGTGTATTTAACGACAGTCGCAGAGATCGGTGCTTGAGGTCCTGGGCCTAATTAGGGAGTGGGAATGCGTGGGGTGGAGAGGGGGGTGGTGGGGGTGAACCCTTCATGGCCAGTTGAATGGGAAAAACGGCGCTTAGCCACCGCAGACATTCATAAATAAAGGAGAGCAACTCCATAACACGCTTCGTCTGCGCGAGTTTTGCTCTTTTGATTCTATTTCCCGGATACGGATACTGGATACGAGATTTTTCGGTAATTTTCAGCTTATGCTGGCCTTCGTTTTCCATTTCATGGCCAACTGCGTTGCGGCATGCAAAATTCCACTCCCAACTGCATAACGAGTACAAATACCAATGCCGATGAGGATGGGGAATGGAAATGGATATGCGAATGTGGATGTGAATGGAAATGGAGATCGAGTTGGGGATGGGGATGGGATGGGGATAATATGGTAAGGGAGCAGTGGAAGGGCGTGTGGTTACAGGGAGTTGGCCACCAATAATACTCGGAGAATGCTTTTTCGGTTTGATTTCGCTTTCCTCTCGTTGGCCATTCATGAGTTTTCATTTCATTTTCGCTTATTGCTTACATTTTGCGTTCTGTTGCTGGGTTTCCCATTTCTAATTTCGTATTTTCTATTGGAGTGAGTGCGGATATGTGAGGATTTCTCTTTCACAACAAAATAGTTTTGCTTTTCCCGCCTGCACTTGGCCCCAATGGAGATAAGAGGCGGAAAAAGGAGGGCGAAGAAGATTTTCCGAGGTGTGAGTGTGGGATCTTTGTATGTAAAATAAAAGCTTCGCTGAAATTGAAAAACTTTTCCAATATGTGCTTTTTCTTGCTTTCGTTACCCATTTTATTATTGCATTATATTCGGTTGGGGATGCAGCTTTGTGGATATTTTTATTGTTTCATTCCACCGACTCCTTGTGGACAGTGGGGGGGCGTGGCATTTATGATATGCAGCTGCACTCCTAATCCCTTTTCAAATTGAAACCAGGCACTTTCGCCAATCCTGCCAAGTCAGGTGAGACGTGTGCAAATTGGAAATAAAGTCCTACATGTCACCCGCAAATCTCGGAACTCAAAAAAAAAAGGCGGGTGAATTTTCCAGGAAAATCCCTTTTAGTTGGTCGGAAATCCGATAATAGCACATTTTTAATGGCCACTTTTGCAAGCCGAGTCAAAAGCTGGCCAAAGTTTCTCGCTAATTATCCCAAAAGGCAAAAGAGTAACTCCTTTTTTTTTGGCAGCAATCAAAAATGACACTTGGCAGCGGAAAAGTGGCCACATTGGGGATAAACAAAGGACGGAAAAACGAAGGCCGCTCAAAGGGTACGAAAATTAAGGGAAATAAAATTAATGCGTGGAAATTCATAAGACCCGGACGTTTTTCTGGCCCAAGCGAGTTGGCAATTTGAGGCACATTAAGCGACTTAATTACATGCGGCCATTTAATTTTATTTTTCTTGGCCATGGAAATGGCCCTGGAAATGGCTTTTGCACGCATTCAACTCGCAGATTGCACTTCCGCTGCAGTGACAGCTGCATCAAATTGACGTTTATATAAAATGCCATAAATCAGTCCGGACAAGCGCGAAGTCCTCCGAGTTCTGCGGGTCAACTCCCGAGCCGTATACTCGTACAGAAACAGATTCCGGTCCATCTCCAGCTCCAGCTCCAGATACAGATTCAGAATCAGAATCAGGACATCTTCTTGGTTTGACAGCGGGCAAAAAGGACACTCGCCGCCTCTCGGTCCTTGCGTCATATTTAAATGTATGACTGCGTATAAATAAAAAGTTGTCCTGCCGAGGACTGTGTCAGTTAATTTCACGCTGCCAGGATCTGTGAGTAGGCCGGGATGATGAAGTGCGTCTGCCCACGAGGAGGCCTTACATAACATAAAGGCACAGCGAAAAATAAAATTGGGATCATTCTAAAGAAAGTAACGTTCTCTAAGAGTTCCTTTTAAGGAGCTTACTTAACATAACTGTTTTGGTCAAAAATCTACTAATCATGATTATATTTCCTCTACCATTATATTTTTTTCTGAAATATTTTTTAAATATATGTATGTATTATTTGATTATTATTAAGTATTTCCTTTACCACGTTGTCGGCTACATTATACTCCTTCAAATAACTTTTAATTATTTATGTTCCCTGCATATCACAGAAACATAAATAAAGCATATTGCTCTATGCCGCATAAACATAACTGTAAATTTAACCCTTCGGCCTGTGCGTATGTATCGCTTATGTTTTACGACTGTCATAGGGGCTACCCAAACAACAATTGACAGCCATATTTGCCTATCTTAATTCCTTGTCACAAACAAAATTGGCACTTTTGGTTGGGGATTGTGTTGGAGTGTTACTTTGGGGACAGCTAACTGGCTGATAAACGGAGCAATTAAAACCGGAAATAAAGTCACCACATGCGGGGAAAATCGTCACTTTTTTAGGGAGGTTATCGCTTTTAGAGAACTTTTTCGTCAGGAAAAGGAAGGAAAACTGGCTGCTATCTCGGGGAAAACTTTCTGCTGTGCAGGCGAACAAAGTGGGTGGTTTGGGCGAGAGACACCTGGACGACCTTGAGCAGGTGCAAGGTTCCCAAAATTCTGCGCAGCACACACTCACACACAAATACGCACACTAAACGGCCAAAATGGCAACCTAAATTGGCCACAACACTCGAACTCAATACATTTCCCATGGCAGCTCATTAGCCCATTGTTGCTTGCTCTTTTGATTTCCGGCTTTAATTGCGCGTTGGCATTGTTGCATTTAACGCATTAGCCGAAGGGGCCAAGGATTTCCCCTTAATTTCCCTGAGTTTTCATATGCAAGCTCTCTTTCATTCAGCGGAGTACAAAATTCGCCACGCATGCGCTCTCTTTGGAACTTCTCTTGTTCGGTATAAGTATCGAAGAGAGTTCTCTTTGTTTCGCCAAGTGGTTTTGGGGCTTAAATCAATGAGCTTTTGTTAATGAGCTCAACTCGAATTCAAGAAGCTTTGGTCATATACAATCCAACTCAAAATTTACTTTTAATTTACAAATCAATTTTCTTGTTTTATTGAACACAATACTACAACTAGCTGATCGATGTTGAATGCCGATTGGTTGGTTTAACAGGATGACAGTTTTAGGTGGGTGGTGGTGGTGGTGGCAAACATTTGATACAAATATTCGTCTGTGGCATGAATCGTCCGCCGCCTACGCTCCTCTTCCTCGAGAGCCGAAATTCACAAAGTGGGGAAGCTACTACATCTCATATGGCAATTGTTGGGGTGTGTGTTTAAATAAGATTCGCTAGGGGTCCCAAGGCGACACGTTGAATGGATGATGATGGATCCTGGTGGTTGGCTAATGGCACTACACAGTAGCTATTAATGGCCTAATACATTGAGCGGCATTTTGGATTGACAAGGCGAAGGTTATTGACATTTTAACCGCGCCACGTCAGCAGGCTCCATCCACGACTCGGTTTCCTAGTGCTGGTGGGCTCCTGGTCCTGCTGATCCTGCTGAACCTGCTGATCCTGCTGGTTCGGCTGGTACTGCCCATCCTGCCGCTGCTGATTCTGCTCTATGTAGGTGCGTAGTATGGTATGCTTGTGTACGGACTTCTCAAACTCGGCCGCACTTGGCCGATACGCCTCGTACTTTTGCTGATACTGAGTCCGCCCGGCCGACTGCGATGGCTCCGTTGTGTAGGCGTGGCTGCCGCCCTTCGCGGCGCTGCCGAACGAACTGCCGCCGGCTGGCGATGGTACCGCTGCCTGTGGGTTGAACGGGGAGGGAGGGGAGGGTTGGGCGGGTTTGGGATTACTGAGCGGTTGTCGGTTGTAGTTATAGCTGTTCTGGCTGTTCTTGTTAATGTTGTTAGTCTGCTGGTTGTTATTGGCGGATTGTCTTTGACTGGGGCTGCTGTTGTAGCCGTACTCATACGTTTCAATGCTGTTCGCTCCGTAGACGCTGTTGGCAGCTGGGGAGGCTCCTGGAGCGGCGCAGAGTCCTTGGTAGCGGGACGAGGGCTTCATGCCGTACGTCGAGCAGGAGGGCTTGCCCACCTCGTAGGGATTGTAGCCAACCACGTTGCCACTGCAAGAAAAAAACAAAAGATCGTAAGTGTATATTCTTCTGTATTATATATATTATATCTTCTATATTATAATTTAATAAAAATGGTGTAGAAATGGTTTTTTATTTGTCATATCATAATTTATCTTTATATATTCTACACAACGAGCACATAAAATTTGGCAGTTATTCTAAACGACAACCACATATTATAACCATTTTGTATAATTCCAAAAACTATTTAGAGTGATTTTATTGCCTCATTGTCTAATTTCCGGAACGAATTTTACGATATCTGAATTGAATAAATTAATTTAGAGTTCTGATGATACAGGAAGTTCGAGGCTTAATAGTTAATAAATCCAACAAAAAAACTATAGTATTTGTATCTCTAAGATTCGGCTTTTTATGATCTCCTCAAAATGCTTCATTGTATTTCAATATTTTTTGCGTTAGAATAGTAACACCTATGAAACTTACCCAGGTCCGTAGTTGCAGACGTAGAGCTTGTTGTATTTGCTGGTGTCCTTGTACTCCGCGTATCCACAGCCCACCAGGCTGGTCTCGCCCCAAACCAGCTGAGAATAGTGACCAGTTTTGGGGGACCAGGCGTCTCCGAAGGAGTACTTCTGCACCTCGTTAAACCAACTTTGGATGCGCGAGGGGAAGTCCCCGTCATCGGCGTCCAAAGGCGCCGTACTCCAGATGATCGCCAGATTCTGGCCCATCGTAAAGCGATCTATTAATGGATAAATATTAGATATTAGTAACGATTTAAATTGAAAGTTTGGGAATGGATTTTTGGGGGATGCAGGTGCTGTGTATGCAAGGTTAGTCTTAGTGTTTTAAAAGCAGTTCGTGCACGCAAAAATGGAAGGTGTGATAAATCTTATAAACTATGCACACTGGGGTGGCATTATAGATAATACATATATGGTATTATTGGTCATTGAACTTAAAATTTGGACTTCAATTAATCATATCATTCTACTTTTTCAACTGGTTTAATGAGTAAGATTATTTCCAAATTATGGCAATTCGTCACAGCAATTTTAATCAAATCAAAGTGAATCATTTGGAATGGTAAAACCGTTCTAAGAGGTATTCCCAGTTCCAGTGATTAATGAAAGAAATTCGCTTAATTGGCAGTGAAAGGTGCCATAAAAGTTGACGTGAATATAAATTAGGCTCTCAGGTTTACACATTCTCTATAAATAACGATGCTCAATAAAAAGGTGAAGAATCATCTAATTAAATGACCACCCCAATGAGCTTTACCATATCGTAAAGACCTGAAACCAAAAGAAAAGCGCAACATGCTTTGCGCAGATTCGATCCAACTCCTGGATTTTGGGTGTGGGGATGGAATAGGGTTGAAGGGGTCTATAGAACCAAACAACTTACTTATTGTGCGGTGTGGATCGTGGCGGAACTGACAGTTGTCAGCCCATTTCTGGGCCCTGGCGGCCAGCTCGTCATCCCAGACGATCTCGCGCATATTCTCGGCACCCGGTTGACCCGGATAGCGTCCCGTGGCCACGATCTGCCGGAGGCGATTGTGCTCCTGCAAGATGATTGATCTCTCTTCCGCCGTGATGCCCGATGCTGAAATGATTAGGTCGAGATTAGCATAAATTAAAGAGCCAACGAGAAGGGGAACCTGCGGGGGAATATGCATGAGACACCAAGCAGCTGGAGAATTTTATCATTTCTATTTTCGTTGGTCATAAAATGTTTGGTTTTTGTGTTTTTTTTATATTTTTATTTAGAGATATCTTCGGGCTGGTGTTTCTCCTTCGACTTGGAGACGATCATCAACCACTTTTGGCCACCCAGGGAGCCGGTTTGGATCGAGCCAATATTTGTCGAAATCTCAGCCGCTTTGGCTCTGCCTCACAGAAAAGCCAAGTGGGGTTGCCAATTTACATTGGCTCTTGTTTTACATATTTTTTAATTATTTGTCGCTCGCGACATAATATTCCACACTTACGTGTGCTCCAAATTGTCATAGATTCGGGGTTTATGTAACCAGCCGGTTGGTCGGATCACAAGACATCTGTGTCACTTTCCTTAGAGCGCTTGGCTCCCCTATCCAACCGGTTTCGATAATGTTTGGCCATTAAATAGAACACAGAACGATACGATACGGAGTGGAAAAAAAAGTCGAATGAAATGCAAAAACCGAGCGGCGCGTGCTCCGCGAAAGGCGTCAATTAAAAGTCGCACAAACAGCCATTAGCCGAATTTTATCTGATTTGATTTGATTTTAATTGAAATAATGGCAAAGTCATGGTCCTACGGCGCCTGACTCATGACTCCACTCCACTTGAAGTGTGTCGGCCAATCAGCCAGGAGAGAAGTGGCCCCAGTTTAAGCCGAATTGCCGCAGGGTGTTAATTACCCGGAGATCGGCCGAATAAAAAAGGGGGAAGAGACGGAAGTGGATCCTTGGGGAGTGCCCCCATTTCATTTAAATAATTACGCGCGCTTAATAATTTTTAATAATTATAATAATGGACCGGGCGATGGGCGCTGATTGCCGTACGCGACGTGATAGCATTTAAGCCAGGCTCCCAAGCTCCCAAACTACCAAGCTACCAAGCTGCCAAGCTCCCAACTTGACCATGGCTCTTGCCGGCCGGTCAAGTGCCGGGACGTGTCTGTCGGAATCAGATTTAAAGTCAGACAACTTGACGCGCCCCAACTTGATCGGTTACTGGGTAAATAAATTGGCAGCTTCGCCGCCGCTCGCACAAATATATGGGTCTAGATGTCAAACAAAAGTCGAGAATGCTAAACACAGCGTTTGCCGAACCGACTTAATCTTAATATGCTCCCAAGGCTGCGACTAAAAATAACCCGTGAGCGATCAAAATTCGAGACTCCCATCTGCGGCTGGGCCTGTCAAATTATGCTACATTTGTATCAATGCGGCGAAAACCGGTAGGCGAAAGCCAAGAACCGAGGAAGCCCATGGCTGTGTGTTTAACTTGGCGGGCATTTCGCATCAATCATCCGGCAAAGCCTCGGATTTCCATCACAATTTGTACCGAGGCTGCTGATGCTGATGCTGCTGCTGCGGTTGCAGTGCTTCGCATCAGGCGCTATGCAAATTTGTGAACTACCTTCGCTGACAAATTGCACATAAAGCTGTCGATCGGTTTCCGCTTGCGGACGAAACAAACCGCTGAGATAATGTTGACAACGAAACGTCAACAGCTCGCCGTCATTTCTGTTCACTTGCCCGAAACGAAACGAAACGCAACGATACGAAATAAAAGACTCAGGCAGCGAACTTGCTGCGAAAACCAGACCTCTCAGCCAAATGCCGACAATATGTTAACAAGTGCTTAACTGCACCGCATCTTGGCCAGGCGTTGACTTCACCTTGAAAAGCAAATAGGGAAGATCAAAGGGGAGAAGGGGAACGCCAAGTCGAAAGGACCGCCGCATTTAGCGCGAGTTAATTTTCATAGTTATGCTTTATGTTTCGTTTCATTTTCATTTATCATTTACTGATTATCACCATAGTATACAACTAGCCTTGTGCCCCAACATATTTAATTACATTATTAGCACGGCTTTTGATTGATGCCGCGGCAAAACGATGCGCTTAACAGCCATGATACCGGTGACATGCGATTAAGTTGGCTCCCCAAAGAACACCATACTATATAATCCAGGCGATATCGCTGACGGAGCATAAAAGCAATCATCAATCAGCAACGCACACGCGCACTATAAAAATCTTTTTGACTTCACTTCGCCACTTTTTTTATGGCTCTTTGGGAATTTTCGGGTGTTTAAGCGCCGCGTGTGCAGAACAAAGAATATGGAATCGATTGTTTTTCGGCTATCACGAGCTATTTCTATTCCCAAACCGCACAAGCTTGGCTCGATCAGCACAATGACCCATTAAAAATCGGTTGTTTTGTATAATTATTCAGGCGCATTTCTGACGCCTGGTATTCTAATTTGTTTACAAATTATTTGCCTGACTTTGAGCAACAAAATCCCCATTTCAGTTCAATGAGCTCTTTTTGCGCGCTTGATTTTTAGGCGCCACTAATCATTTTCAAGGGTTCTACGAGTTTTAGAAGTCTCCTGCTCTGATCTCATTCGATTTATCAAGACCGGAGTTGAGTTGAGTGGCCTTTGGCTGGATCAGTCGACAAATGACAGGTCAGCCACCTAAAATACTTTTAATTCATTTGGACACTGGCAAATATTATATAAATTATCTAAACCCGATGTTTCAACCGGTTTCCATCCCGCTCGAAGCTTAAGTAATATGCCGCCCGTGTTTGTTGCTTTTCTAAACTATTTATTATGCAATACATACACTGTTTAAAACTGGAAAATGAAGAAAGGTGACACGTTTGCGGCAATGCGAGTCTATTTTTGGTTAGACCAGCCAAACTTGCCCAAAAAACTGGAATTTTCATACTGAACAAAGTTATAATAGTTCTTGGGTGACCCTCGCTGAAAAAGCGAACGCACATTAAACAAAATGTTTTTACGGGCAAATATTTGCACTTCACTGTATTCATTCACACAACGAATGGCTAAAACGTGTGTTCGTTCAATGTGGGCTAGAAAAAAGCTCGAAATTAATGCTGGACATGCCCTGAAATTCTATTTCTCCTACACCCAAAACTGCTGAGCTGCATATAGATTTTTTGGGACCTTGGCTTTCATTTCTGGGAGTACTTACCAATAATCTTTCCATTGCAGGCGAATACCACTCCGCAGGAGATGATCATGATGGTGGTTAGTAATAGCGCACTTGGCTGCATCATTTTGGTTATGTAATTTTAGGGTTTGAACAACACGTTGATTTATTTGATTTGTGTTATATATTTTTATAGACACTTTGTAGATTTCTCAAATATAACCTTTTCGTAAAAGACAGTGTTATATTTGCTCTTGCATACACTTTAGCTTTTGAAATTTAGCTAGAAATTTTTGATATCACAATTTTGGGACGGTGGGGTTGCAAAAAGTGACCGCCGTTTGCCAGAAACCGAAAATAAAAGAGCGCCACGAAAAAAAGCCGACGACTCCAACTCCACTCTCGTGTACGTGTAGCTAGACTTGAAGGCGTCGCCTGTTTGGTTGACCGCTCGGCGGCGCCAACGTTTTTATACCGCCAACCGGCGGCAGCGGCGGCGGCAGCGGTACAATCAGCAGCGGCAGCGGCAGAAGCGGCAGCGGCAGCGGGTAAAGAAGCTACCGATCGGATTCCCCCGCCACGGAAAAAAGTGAGCAAGGCGAGAGAGTTTCTTAAAGTCGCCGCGCAGTCGCAGTTCGACGCCAGCAACTTGTTGCCGGTACACTAGCAACATGTTGCTGTTGCTGCCGCTGTTGCTACTGCTGCTTCTGCTGCTCATACGTTTTGTGTTCTTTTCACCGGCGTAATTGAAGATTGAACTTTATATTAATCATCGGGCTGGTTCGGCAACAATCACTCGCCTTCGCGGTGGGCGTGGCAGGTTGGGCCAGGTCGCTGGGAAAACCGCCGCGAAAACGGCGAAAAAGGCGAAAAAGGGGAAAAGGGGAAAAAGGCGAGCAGGTGCCCCGAGGGCTGGCAGTCGAAGCTTCGATCATTTCGCGTATCATTAAAAACCAATAAAAACACCCAATTAAATGCACAGTCGCGGCGCACAAGAACAAATGCCACTTGATCCTTTCACCGTCATCGCCAGTGGGGCATTCACATCTGGGCCCATTGCCTTTTGCCTTTTGCTCCGCGCATTTCCGCTTCGCGCTGGCTTCTTGCCAAAATAATTACGCGTACAAAGCCATTAACAAGTACAAACGATTGCGCCGGCCCAGCAGAGCCCTCTTTCAGCCCAGTAGAGCCCTACGAATGCACTGGGAAAAAATACAAGATTTTAACACCAATACATGATCCCATTTTTACCTATTTAGCATATATTTTTTGATGGCTTTGGAGGGACAGAAAATAACTAAATGCAATAATTCAAATTATACATTATTTTGTATACTTATATTTATATTTTATAAGAAGTAATACAAGGGTATTAACTTCGAAACGTAAGTAAGAATGTTAAAAAATGTAAAGGTTTACCAAAAAAAACGTACTTTACAGTCATAAAATATCTTAAAACTCAAAACAAAAAGTTCAATTTTCTTTAGTGTTGCAACTGCTAACTGGTTCTGTTTATTTCACCTCGTTTCAGTGCCGCTGATGCTGCTGACCATGTTGATGCCACACATGACGTTTTGGGTGAGGGTCCCATTCTCGGACTCATTCCCAGATTCAGTCCCAATCCCAGTGGCAGTGGCAGAACCAGCGACCAGCGACCGACAACCAAAAACCAGGGATCTGCGATCGGTGATCGGAGGCAAGTGATCAGCGTTGGGGCAACGGCAGTGACGTCTCCGCTGGTCCGCTGATTTATTTTATTTCGCGAAAACTACATAAATATCAGAAAAATTATGCTTTACAGAAATATGAAATAAACATATGCCCGATACATGTTCTTTGATGTTCCTCCTCGCAGTCGCTCCCCAGGTTGTCGATGTTTTTGTTTCGCGGCTAGTTTACATTTCCTACTCGAGTGTGATTTCATTTGTGCTGGAACAAATACAAATACAAATACAAATACACACATGCAACCGATCACTGAGATTTAAGCAAACATTATTGGCCTTCGATTGGCGATTGTCGGTGTGTTTGCATTTCAATAAACCTGCGTGAATCTGTCCGATCTGTCTGCGTACATTCGTGCATGTTAAGCGGGGTAAAAAATTCCCAACACCTCATTTAACTCAATTTAACAGCACTTGGCATCATCCGCCGGTTGTCGTTGTTGCCGTTTCTTAAAGTTTCTTCAAGTTGTTCCTCCGATTTGCCTTTGTGTAGTTTTATGACTCAATTTAATGTATTTCTTGCGCTGCGCGTGTGCTGTCCATTTTGGACATCCGCTGCCACCCACTGGACCAACATGTTTCATTCCTTTATCTTTCATACTTTTATTCTGTTTTTTCTGACGGTTCATTTCGTTTCGAGGTATCACAAGTCGGAAGCGGTCAGTACTTTCCACTGAAATCCTGACGGTTGCATATTAATTTTTATAAAGTCATTGCTTTAGTGACTCAGTCGACCCAGTTGTTTTTAATCGATGGCAGGAAAGTGAATCGGCCACTGATTCACTCGCATGGAGAAATATCACTGGTTTTAAAGTTAATAAAAACCGTTAGGAAGTTACTCGGAAATCAATAACTTACTAATATTTTGATGTGTTATGTTCGAAATAACAACTTCAGGGATTCCCAAGTTAGGAGCCAATCCTATAATTGACCAATTTCTATCAAGTCTGCCACAAGTTAGTAATTAATTTGCAGAGCCCGACAAATTAGGGGTTAATATCCCGATTTTATAGAACTGTGGGAGATAATTGGGAGTGCCGAAAACACTTTAAATTAAGATAACGTTTATAGCACACGCTTATATTCTACGATCCGAAAATAGACAAGCATTTAATGGCTTCAAAGCAAACGAGTTTCTCTTTGGAACCTCGCATTTTCAAATATGTTATTCCCATATTGTATACCTCCAGAGTCTAGATAAAGAAAGTAAAACAAGACACCGGCGAAGGCTGAATAAATTGGTGGCTAATTTTAGCTGATGAATATGCAACACCACCAATTGCCCACGATCGGTTAGAAAGTCAGAATGCCGTCGATAAGGTCATCAGCCATGTCATCGCGAATCGGGAGTGTTTTCGAACACGGGTTTTCCATTCGATGATATAACCGCCGAAGGTTGCTGATAATTTCTCTAATCAGTCACTCGCCGCCGTTCGTTTGTTTATCGCGGAGATCGCCTTGCGGAACCGATCGTCTCGCACTTTGCAAATATGATTGGATTGCCAATTGACATTTGCTCATAACTATACAGATTCCGCCCCTGGCGCTGTCATTGGGCTGATATCGTTATTATTATTTGTTGTTGATGTTGATGCGCCCGCCACTTGGCAATGCAGGTGTCAAGTGTCATCGACGCATCCTCGTTGTCGAGAAAAGCAACCGCTTCCGCTGCCATAAATCTTGCCCAGCTCTTGACTGATGATCAACACTGGCTTAGGCAAAGTAAATAATAAATAATGAACACATTTGGGGCGAGTCCGGACAAGCCAGAGACAAATGAAATCAAACCATTTTATTATATTATTTTGCCAAATTCAGATGGGGATCTTAACCCCTTTTTCGCAATCCAATTCTCCCCGTGTGACAAAACATTTTGCGTAGCACTTCGGTTTTTGCACTCGACGGGGACAACGACTATTATTAAATTATAATTAATTGCAATTGAAAGCTGGCTGCCAGGCAGTCTGGCTGACAGGCTCATAATTAAAATGTCATACTGGTTGCCTTTACAATGAAGCCGTGAGTGGCGAGAGCTCAGCTCCATTAACAAATTGCGGAATTGGAATCGGAAACAAAGTCAAAATTGGAATCGGAATGATGTTCATAATGGGAAGCCTCTCTCAATCGTTTTGTTTTTTCGCCAAAATAGGGAAAATAAGTCAATAAGCCAGGGCTAACACGTGTTTGAATGAATGAATGGTCGATGTCGTAAAACCATAAACAATTTTCATTAGAGAAACGTTTTCATTCTTATGCTAAACCGATTCATATGCTGATCGATCCACGCTTGTTATTCTTTCTTCTCTTTTTTTGAACTTGTGCCGGCAGAAAAAAAAAATAATGGGGGTTTCGGAGGGGCAAGGAGGAGATATTGGGAACTGGGATATATGCGCACACACCTTCATTAATTCGCTTTGGTAGCCAGCGTTTTTTTCATTAAAAAGCCGTCAGCGTACAATAAATTTTGACCATTTTTTGTGATCTGGTGGCGTTTTTTTTTTACTTTGCGCCTGCTGAGCTGATTTCGCCCCGGCTCTTTATAGGCTTCATTATGGGCCCGATCGCTGTATGTATTTATTTTGCGCAGCCAGGCGACAGAACATAATTTTAACGCTCTTTATCGCGCCGCTCCGCTGCGCATGCGCGCGATTCGACACTCGATGCGAATATTGATTTATGCTTCGATCTCTTCTTTATATTTGGCATCGCAAAATGGTAATCGCGCGACTCCATTTCGAAGCTGGTGGCTAACTATATCAGCGCATTTGATCTTTCGCCTCTGGTGCCTTTGACATCCGATGAATTCATAAGAGAGACACGACAACTTAATCAAAGCTAAGCACCGATCATAATTTATCAACCTCTGTCAGCCGGAAAAAAACAAAACAACCCGAAAGACAAGGGGAATACAATACTCAAATTAACAGAAACTATTATTACTGCCTGACTAACGGTGCCACGGTGGAACCGCTGGTGGTCCGGCGATTCCGACAGGCCCGGAATACGTGTATATATCTCTCTCTGATTGGAGACGTAGAGTATTAGCCTCCGCCACTCGCTCGCCTTGAGAGCGTCTTGCCGCTTTCGGCTGCCACCGTACGTTCCATTTAATGGCATCATAATAGAACATACTTAAGCCAAAACGTATCTATTATCTGGGGATCGTCTGCCTGCTGGCTCCGAAAAGGTCAAAGCGCGGAAGTTCAGCGAAACCCGAACGGGATCGCGATGAATAGATAGCGTCAGATATAATCCAAATTTGAGAGGAGTTTCGAGCGGAATGCCACTGTGGGAAATTCTTTTGGCTATGTGTTGAATTCATGTTTAAAAAAAAACAAAACTTTCCCAGCCAAACTCAATGGATCTCTTAAATATGTATCTTTATTTAAGATTAAAATGAAGTTATGAGTAGTTGCTGGTTCTAAATTACATAACATTTTTAAATATGTAGATTTTTAAAATTATTTTGACCAGTGATTGTATAATAATCTGCGGCATCCAAGGGGAAGTACGGAAGTCTTGTTAACGAACAATGACTTAAGAGCTTTAATCTTATTAGGTTTAACCTGTTCAAAGAACTGATAGATCTAATTAAAGAATTCTAGGGAGAGTCATATATTTTAAACCCTTCCATAAAATTTTTAAATTGGCAAGCTTAGCATATTTAATTGAAAAATTAAAGAAGCTTCAACGTCACCAATGTTCTTAAATACGTCAATAATAAATCCAGTTAAGGAGATCACAAATGAATAATTAGTTAGCCACGGCCATAAACAAAGGTATAACATCATCAAAGTTCTTAGGTATATTTTTAATTGTTTGAAATATTCATAAGCGTCATCAGAGTTCCTAAGTACCCTGTTATCCTAGGGTAGGATGAAAAGCAAAAGCGCTAAACTTCATAATTCTTAATTAGCTTGAAAACTGAACTAGAAGTCGTGAGTCGCGAAACTCGTTTGTACAATCCGATCGGTTATGCTGGAATGACAAATTATGCATAATCAGCCTGCCAGACGAAGTTGTAGTTTCACAGAGAGATTCACACAATTAACGAACAGATTTATATATTTTTCTTTCAAACGAGACCAGGGCGTACAACAAAGGCAATGTCCTATGCATATGCATGAGTTGTCGCTGATTCGACAGAAAAACAATGTGAGGCAGGTGGATGGGTGTTTGGATATCTATGACTGTTGAGGTCCCAGGATCTTTTCGTACTTTCAGGACTCGAGGTCTTCCTCTGGCTGAGGCTGAGGCTGTGGTCGCAATCGGTTCAACACGTCCACCAGAACCAGTCCGACCACCAGACAGAATCCGGAGGCGTATAGGTAGAAAACAGGACTGTTGGGGAAGGAGTACTCCTCGTCCTGCCAGGATCCCTTACATCCCGCCCGCTGGAGGTCGGCCAAGGTCGTTCGCATCGGCAGCCACTTGCTGGCCGCCTTTCCTTTGAAGACAACTGGCTTAATGGCCGCAAATCGCCGGGATCCCCGGCCCATCTGCTTGTTTCGCACGGCGGACTGATACTGCGACCAAACCGTATAGACATGCCGGCCCGTGAAGGAGGTTTCTGGAGCGGATTGGGTCTGGTTCTGCATCCGCAGCCGGGAGTCGTACACCTGCCGCGAATTGTGGCGATGGAGGGTCTGATACGCCTCGCAGATCCGCATGAAGACCTCCGAGTCGCGCTGCTGGCTATTCGCATCCGGATGGTACTTCTTGGACAGCTCGATGAAGGCCCGCTTGATCTCGCGCTCGCTGGAGCCCACCGGCACGTTGAGCACCTGGTAGTAGTTCTCGATGCGGGGATGCCCCATCGGGTGCCTCTGGTACGTGAATCTCGAGCCGTAGCTGGCCAAAAAACGCACCGATTGGCCGGCACATCTGCTCCGAATGATCCTCAACATTCACGTGAATTTTGCTGTTCCCAAATCGTTACTCGAAAAATACACAATTTTAACACTCTTGTTCTCGGATGAAGGAAAATGTATGCTGGTTATAATTTTTATTTGACAGCCAATCTAATGTGAATGTGTAGTGAGTGTTGAGTGAACAGGAATTTCACCCGATTCTGGATCGCCGTTTATACTTACTTAAGTTTATTAGCTAAACGAATTTGAGTCGTAAAAGCTTAATAGATGAAATCAAACCAATCGGCATTGGATAGCTTAAAGACAACCATTAATCAATGTTTTTAAGAGCAAATAAAATAGATTAAATAAATAATGTTGTCTGAAAACTTTCCAATGTCAAAGCGTGTGATACAGTGCGAGTGCTTAGATAATAATGATTTATTAGAATTGAAGGGGATTAAAACCGAAAACAAGAAGGCTGCGCTCTGCTCCAAATGAAATCCTCTGAAAATTTGATGTACGATTGTCGAGTTGAAGAGCTTGCCAATTTGGAGACCGAATAACGTAACCTGACTCAACATCTGGGCCGTGTTAAATGCCCCATATTTGGCAGCGGGGCGACAAACTTTTTTGTCAACAGCGGCGAGCGATAAAAGATCGACCCTGGTCTATATAAGCCCATTCCGACCATGGCCAATTCTGTAAACAGTAACACAATTGTGGTATGATTTGTGGGCCATTATCTCTCTCCGTCTTTGACCTTCCGGAAGTGCCAACGAACTTGGCAATGAATCTTCCACGCTTGGAGCGCCGCGTGTGCTCTGCATTTAGCCATCCTGATAGCCAGACAGCTCCGGTTACCCAGCCAAGTTTACGCCTTGGCCAAGAAGTGCCGCACGTGTGGGTGTTATCGCCGAGGCAAGTGGGTCATTTCTAAACAATAATATTGAACAACAATTCCATTGAACTCGGATTTTGCCACTGCGTCAGCGGTGGGCTTTGGATTACGTCGAAGGTGGATAAAAATATTTGCACAAGACATTACTATAATTGTTTTCGATGGCGTATTATACGCAGCTTGACAATTTCCATCGAAACACAATATTTGCATAGCGAGTCATTCATTCATCTGCGAATTAGTGTGGCCATAAATGGCTTTATTAATAGAGATACTGCAGTTTATTGTTACCTGGTAAAGTACACCATAAACATTATACTACTAAGACTTGGAAAAAGCGGAATAATTAATCTGCCTATTCGTTTACCTAAAAAATAGTTTCCGGAATAGGAAAAAATACATCAACATAAAAAGCACTAAACTAAAACACTACAAATCATTTTTGTAGTATTAAATAATAAATAAATATAAATATATTTACATTTTAGAATGGATGTCTGATAACTTCGTGGACATCAACTATTTTGTATTTTCAGTGACATCTTCTTTCTGAGTGTAGTTCCCCCGCGGTGGACCGATCCAGTCTGGACTTGACATCATTTGTAGACAGCACATCTTGGCCGGGAATGGAACCCCACCTGCTAATTGGTTTCAGTTGAACGGGTCGCAGACCAACACCATTTTTCTGCGTCCCAGGAACAGTGACCTCGAATCGGCAAGTTCCCAAAACATATCTCGAAAAGCTGTGAACATTTATTTGGAATTGATTGAGCCGCCAGTCCGGTTGTGATTGGCCAGGTCATTAGCGATTGGCGACTTAAAACGGTTTCAGGTCGCCGGAATCCCTTCTATTTATACTAGATCAAAGGGCTGTTCCACCATTTAAACGGTTTTTGCTTCACTGTGCAATTGGGTTGGCGGGATATTGGCAGCATCATTTGGCCACAGCCCATATGTTAATTGACACTAACAATTTGTTTCGCCAAGACGGGCCATTTAGCCACGTTTCCGTCGAAATTACCATAGCCAAACGCAGTGGCCGGCGAGAAAGCCCGTCCGAGTGTCCCGGCCAAATGCAAAATGATAATTGGAAACAGGTTCTGTTTCTGTTTCTGTTTCTGTTTCTATTGAAGAATTAGCCGGCCCATCCCCGCTCACAAAGCCGAAAAGAAGATTTACGACAAGTGGTGACTGGTTGTCTCCGCCGTGCGCTGGCTCATTTATCTGGCCGAAATGAAAGACGCTCCGGCCCCTTTCTCCACCATTCAAAATGTGACGGGCCAAGAGTTTTTCATTGGCCCATCCGATTGCCAGTTTACGAGGGCTTCTTTCCACGGGCTCCATGCTGGGTCAATGGACAGGAACGCTGCCAAGAAGTCTGCGCCGGCGATGGCTCATCGATTCAACTCGAGTTCGAACTCGAGTTGGCTCGAATCTCTCGGTTGGTTTATCGAGTCGCAGCACGGCATACGGCGAAACTTAAATTATTCATATGTCAGGTTGAAGGCTGCTGCTGCTGCTGCGGCTGCCTTTCGCGTGTAAAAACCTATTTGATCGCAAGATTAACTCCGCTCGCCGATTGTCCGCGGATCAATTAAAACTAAGTAATGGCGTCTGCGAAACCGGCTAGAAACGGAAATACTCAAACTTCACAAATAGCCGGAGTATGCATCAATCAAGTGGAACAATTTTATTAGTGTTTCTGCTGAATAATTTAAGAGGGGAAATAATTGTGAGGGTGTCCAGCACTTTTCCTCTTTCGATATCTCACAAAACTACTCAGTTTCAAACTGCGATACAAAGCCCTGGATTTACATTCTTCTGATCTAAGATCCTGCAGCCTTTTCTTACTTTTAATCTTTGCTTAGCAATTAATTATCTCAGATTCCAGTTCCTTAGCCTAATCATCCTGCATTCAGACTTTCCGTTGCTTTCCGTGGAAGTAATATGAATAGTGCCCTGATTAACTATTAACTTTAAGTGGATAATACTTTAAAAGACTTCTTTTAGCCCCTAATTAGCCAGTTCTTCAGGTAGACAAACGCTGAGGTGACCACGTGAGTTATCTGCTGCGCAAATTCTGCAAGAGAAGACACAGAAATTACATAAACTTTACTAGAGTACCGGGCATAAAGACTCTTAACGACTATGTACTCAAATACTCAAATAAAGTGCCCGCCGACTGCAATACTAATTTGCATTTACATGGATGTCGGCTCTTTTATGCCAGCGACAGCGTAGCTAGCCAAACCCTAATGACAATGCATTGTCTTTCTTTTAACACTCTTTCCAACAAAGGTTCCTTTAAATTTGAGATTACAACGTTGATATTAGATATTGAAACTAATCAGGTAAGATCTCCTTTTAACTAGTAGAAACAAACACTAATCAAGAAATATTAGTGAGGAACAAACGAATTAGATTTTATTCATATGCTAATGTCAACAAAATTTATAACTCCGATAATTTTATTTGTTGAAATAAGGTTAAACGCTTGATTTAATCTTCTGTTTTAGTTTAACCAACACGTTTTGGAGAAAAAAAATATTGTGAAGTATCGAGTTTTTAAATAATTAATTTTTTTATTTAATTTCATTTTGTCATTACTTACACAACAATATTACAAATAAGATGGAAACGCTTAGGTAAGAATTACCATAATAATATATTAATCTTTTGAAAAAAGAATCATTTGGAACACAACGAATTTAACAAGTTACCTATAATTTGAATGAGCATAGTAGAGCATTCGAGATTCGTACACCCGAAATGATATAGACTTTCTGGCTTAGTCGCGGGTCGGGGCACCTTTAAGTTTTATTACTGGCTCTAAATGGCCACATAAAAGCAACCCTGAACCCGGGGCAAATTGACAAATGTTGGCACGCAAATTAGGGGGAGGGGGGAGCATTATGGTGGGCATTTATGGGGCACCTTTCCTTTTCATTTGCAGTGATTAATTTGCATATTTCGGCCTGCAGTCGGCACGCGGAAGTGGCGGCATAATTGTGGATTTATATGCATCATAAATTAAGTTTTCTGCACTGCGGCTTAGTGAGCAGTAAATACGCGATTTTATTTGGCGTTTATCATTTCAGTTTTTATTGATTCGATGCAAATGCAAAGTGCCGTGTAATTAGCAGCCACTAAGCCCGAAGTGATGGCGCTGTTTTCTTCCTGAAGCTGATGACTTACTGAAAATACGGCAAGTGGCAAATAACAGATGTGCAAATGCCATTGACAAATGGCAAAGTTATCTACGAGTGGGGCGGGAAATAAAAGCGGAGTGCTGTTTGTTTAGTACATGATACATGAGTTTTATTTTTATTTTACTTGTATCCATCTTGTATCGATATACAATATATTTCGTAATATAATTTCACTTAAATTTTTGTATTCTTTATGCTGCTTCAATGCGGATTTCAATTGTTTACACATTACTTTTTCTCTTGGTAGTTGCTTACTTTCTCTTGAGTTTCAGTAATCGTATTACATTTAGCATTCAATTGTGGTTTTTTTTTTGTTTTTAATTTTCCTTTGTTTAGCAGAATTTCTTGGTTTCGATTATATGTAGTAGTATGTATATAATATTCAGTAAAATGATCCCTACATTTTGTATGCTCATGTCATATTTTTCAATCTAGATGTATGTCTGTATATATATATTATATATAGTTAATATCTTAAAACAGCAATTATGTTTTGCATATGTTATCTGTCGTCTGCGCAAGGTCTTCACCTCAAGAAATGAGTTTTCATTTCGTCTTCCTTGAATTTAAAGTAAGTTCTGCGACAATAATAATTATAATTTAATCGTTAACAACGTTTCGTTATTGACACACAAACAAACATCGCCATATACATTAAATAGAATTCTGCGTTAATTTTTGGTTTGTATTTGTTTACTTTTGCTGAACACTAAAGCGTCGCCATCAAATGATATATATATTCAAATTTGGAACACAAGATGAGGACTTTTGGAGCTGCCATTGTACTAACTGCATGTGTTTGGGTGTCCGCTTCCACTTTTATGAGTCTCGATTTATTTATTTCCGATCTGCTCTTGACTTTTGCTCTTTTGCGTGAGCAAAAGTTGTCTTATTTGTTATTTTTAGCTACCTTTTAACTTTATTTGCATTAGTGATGCCCGGCTCGAGTGTTTGTTTGCTATTAAGTAGTTCCATAGCCATTACAAATTACTCAGCCGGACATTTGTCTGTGTGTGTATGTGGGAGTTCTCAAAGGTATGTGAGAGTGTGTGTGTTTGTGTGTGTGGGGCAACTACACTTGCAATAAAAGCTAATCCGTGTGTTCTAAGTGAAAACATATATCAAAGCTAGTTTTTGAAAAGAATATCGGGGAATCGAACGGAAAATGCTTGGCATGATTAAAAGCTAACAGTTATAATTACAGTTTGTTGCTTAATTTGTTTGTTATACTTTTACCTTTTTTTATTACCACTAACAAGTAAGAACACATATTTAACCACAATTTGTTTTTGTTTTCCGTTCTCTGGCTTGTTTCTGCTTGTATTGTGTTTGCTTGCTGCTTAATTTATACAAATTGCCTACTTAAAAAGTCATAAATCAGAGCCTTACTGCACACCTGCTGCTTCGAGTGTGTTATTCATAATATATAATTAAACTAAATAAACAATAGGCCATATATTGATATGTATTTGATTTTTATACATAAAAGACTCTGTTTTTAATTTACTAAACTCCGCTTCTCCTCCTTTATTCTAGTTGTGAGAATTGTTGTGATGTCAAATGCATTTCTGTGCCTGGTTTATTCAGTTTTTATCGTATCATATTTTTTTGTTTCTTGTTTTGGTTTCATCAGATTCAGATATTCTTCGTGTTCGAGTGTGTAGTTTGTATTGTATTCTATTGTATAGCAATCAACATATTTATTACATTGTACAGAGAGTTTTGTCTACCACCTAGATTTCGATTTTATTATCAGATGTCGTAGCTGATACAATTTTTAACTTGTCCTTAATACACAATAAACAAAAACTTGAACTATGTCTTCTTCGATTTGGTTTCGGTTTTGGTTTTGGTTTCGCTTTCTTTTTATACAAAACACAAACACAATAACCGTCTAAGGATTCTGCTCATGTGTTTCCTATTCCTACGCTTCGTCCTTCTATTAAGTGTTTGTGTGTGTGTGTGTGTGTGGGTGTTTGGGGGTACGCGTGTCTGTGTGAGTGACCAGCATGCTTTCATTATTATCATAGATTAGAATATGAGTGTTTCCGTTTCCGTTTCGATTCGTTTATATATAAATTCTTTTACAATTGGCAGACTACTACAGCAAAAGCACACTGAGATGTGTTCGTGTGAGAGTGGGTGCATGTGTATGTGTGAGTGGTTGTCCTATCGTTTATATATATTTGTATATAAATATATACCTCGTAAAGATGACCTGGAAGAACCGCAACGAAAGCCATAATCTGTACAAATCATACGAGTAGCGATTAGTGCACGTTCACCAAAAAATGAGACGACGAAGTGTCCATGTCCATGTCCATGTATAAAAATTTAGATCTATAAGCATAACACTTGGAATTTGTCTTTCATTCGTTTGCTCCTTTGCTTCTAAGGCGAAATATTATATTGTCAATTCTTTGGCTTGAGCCGAAAACCATGCAAAATGACAAAAAAATATTCCTAATTTCGGGTTAGACGAAAATAAGGGGAAAATGCGTATAAATGGTAACAACGGATCCGTAAAACGAGTACTTTTCACTTCTCTTTTTTTCGAAGGCAGAAGGCATAATACACGGTAAACTCGTGTATTTTCTCTTTGATATTCATTAACTCTATGCTCTCTGCGAGTGGGCGCACAGTAAACACTGCCTTGGATGACCTCTGGCCCTCCGACACCACCTGACCTTGGAGGCCGGCCAGGTGGGCGTGGCCTTGGTACAGGCAGCCCTCGCTTTGGCCCACTCGTCGCTACAGAATGGATTAACTATCAAGTCTAGTCTTGGAATCGGTTACTATATATACCTAAGTTTTTTGTTTTGTTTCCATTTCGATTAAGAGGCGAACGTGGTGCAATTATAGGGATAGGGAACAGGGATTAAAGCTAGTTATCTTGGAGTTCGTCTCACACTTCATCGTGTCCACAGTTTTAGACAATGGCTTAGTACAAAATTTTAAAGTTATTCATCGTTTGTTAATATCTCCATTTTACGCAATTTCGGTTTTTGTTTTCATTTCGCTTCTTGCATGGTATAAAAATATAAATGTTCCACATATACTTAAAAAATCCATTTGTTTAAGTTATTATTTCGCATCATGCAGTGTTATTATTTGTTTTCGATTTGTTTGTTAGTTCTCTTGTTTGTCCCTTTTAGAAGATACTAAAGTAATGCGTAACTTAGGAATGCCTTGTGGATCTGCTGATCTTGCTGATCTTCCGATTCTTTCCGCTTCTCGCTTTTCTCAATTATAGAATAATTTGTTAATCGCGGTGCAATTGTCGTATAACTATGGGGACTTCTAAGTGAGTGGAGTGGCTGCTATCGTTGCTTGCATTGATGTCGAGTGTACGAGTAGTATCGGCTACAACGGAATCGAGTACAGTGTCCTGTGTAAGTGCATTCGCCACCTGGCTAGGGGTCACATAAATTTTCCTAATTGCTACAGTTGAAAGCGAACATCGCTCAGTAGGCCTCGACCACAGTTCATACCTAATACAATACAATACAATAATCGCTTATTTATCGGGAATTTGCTTAGTTATCGGTTTAAGGGCTTTCTCGTTTATTGGTTGGTTTTAAAACTTTCAAGTGTTAGCAAACAGTTAATGTTGTTGTTGTTCTTCATAAGTCTAATACTTGCTGAATCTATGTATTATCAGATAGTGTGTGGTATTATAATAATTGTTGATAAAAATAACTTAATTAATATCAGTGTGGCTTACCTTAGTAAATTTCGAAAGTTTTTCGATTTCCATAGTTAATACATATTGATATGCCTTTAATACGATTACAGAGTACGGTTACGATTACAGATTACAATTACGATTACTCATTAGCTCTCATTTAGTCTGCGACACACACTGAACTCTAGGGTTTTTCATTTTTCATTTCATTTTCGTTTTCATTTTCATTTTCATTTTCATTTTGTGGTTTTACGTTTTGAACAATATTTATTTATAGATATAGACATACCAAGTACATATACGTTACTCATTATACAATACGGTTTGTGTTAATCATTGATCCAATTTCGCTATGTGTATAAAATTTCTAATTACCATTATTCAGTATTAAATCATTTCGTTTTTCCTCTATCAAAGTTCTCACTAAGCCAATTTGTAAAACGTTTAGTACAAATACAATAATATACTGATATGTTTTGCATTATAAATATCGTCTTCGCCCCGAACAACGCGTAAACCTCGTTTTTCCTTCGATTCTTTGTTACAATTAATCAATTTGCTTCGCTTTGTTCGCATCGAAAAAATTTGTTTCGGGTAGTGCTCGACTTGGGGCTACATTTACTAATCCACTTGTTTGGTTTTAAGTTCACGTTTTTTTTCTTCTAATAAACCAATGCCAATTTTTGTACAATACAATTGTTGATTTTCCGAAAAGTTCCATTTGGGTTTTCTCATAAGAATTCTTCTGTGTGGTTACAATTTTCGTGTGTGGGTTTCCTTGGGAAAGTAAATCGAAATCAAACGAACCCTCAACCTAAGCATGAAACCAATGCAATTTGGCCAAATATCGTTAGGCAACAAGGACCTTTTTTCGAACTAAAAAGCAAAAATTGTGCCATTAAATGCGCTCAAAGATCGCTCGAGAATTGTGGGCGTGGCAAAAAGTGTATGTCGTCTGAGCGAGTTTTCCGTATCTGAGTAAACTTTGTTTCTTTTTGGCTGCCCCCGAAGGCATGACAAACATTTTTCAACTATTTCCGTTAATATTTATCAAAAATTCCGCCCGTCCTTTGGCCAATTTCTCTCAAATGAAGTAATTTAGCGTTGTGCTACACAAAAACAATTTGGTTTTAGGCCTGGCCTATGGCGCACGGCTTGTGGCTACAGTGGTCTCTGGAGTCGCGGAAATCCTCGGACCCCTTGGGGTGCGTAGAGCTCTAAGTTCAATTTACAAATGTTCAGCAATTGCCATCGACTTGCTCAAACCGATCTTGCTAGGTTCCGTAAACAAATCTCCTGCTCCTACACAAATGTCTGCGCCTACAAAAAATTTGGTTTCCTTTCGTTTGCTAAATTTTATTAATATACGTGTGTTCTAACATTAGGTGTCTTTGTGTGTGTGTGTGGCGGTGATGGGGTGTGTGTTTCAGTGTGTGTGGGTGTGGTAACTGCCGGTAGTGGTTTTCTTTTAGAAAACCCCTTTGGTTCGCAATGCGGCGCAGATGAAGATCAGAGCAGCGGTTCCAAGGAGATGCAGCCTCGGGGATATGGAAGCACTTGCCGAATTTCCATCGCAGCTTGAACCTATAAAAGAAGGAGGAAAAATAAATTATAGTTTCAGGAAAATGTATGAGGAAGTTCAATAATGACTTTTTATGTATGTGGGCGGTTTCTGGAAAAGGTTCTCCAAGGCAAAAACTTCTAGTCTTCTCTAAAATAAGCCATATTTCTTTTATCTACTGCTCTGTTATCGTTCGAAAAGCCATCACATGAAGCCGAAAATAATAAGGGTTGAAAGGATACACAGAAAACAAAAGAAAAGCATTTGGTTTTCGGTGCGAGTTTCGGTGCATTGGTAACGAAAACTTAGGGAGTGTCACGCGAACTTACCTTGGACCGAAAAAGTCCCGGCAGAACGGCCTGCTATGCATTGTCAAACCATAATTTTTTACATTTATGCAGGCAGAGCTTCAGTCAAAATTCGTGTGCTAATTCATTCGAAAGTTGTTTGGCCACAGCTAACCAGACAAGATACAAACTTCAAATGGCCCGGCCGGCGATCAGATTTCAACACGCCAAACCAGGCCCAAACCGCCGCAAATTGTTTATACTCGTATTTTTGGTTTTTCATTTTTAATTTCTCTGCTGGCCGAAGTACAGGGATAACTTGCTCAACGACTTATAATTTATAATCGCCTCATGTGAAGTGCAAGTGCGCAAAATGACTTAAAATCAAGCAAGGCGATAAAACAAAGCGAGGCAAATCAATTTCGAAATCAATCTTCGGCCAGCTGGGCCATAAATCGCCTTTATAATATCCGAATTGTTCATATTTCTTGAGCCACTCGGTCCCTCTTGCTGTCGCGTGCATTTAATTTTTGCTAATTTGAATTTAAAAGGCTGACCAAACCATAGATTATACGCTCAGATAATGAAGAAATAAATTGGCACAGCCGCAACAAAAACCACATACAAATTAAACACGGCGAACATTTGAAACACGTGTCGCTAAAAGCCAAAAAACGAAACGCTACGAACCAAAGCCAGCTGAATTGAGTTGAGTTGAGCTGAGCTGGAGTCGAAAGAGAAAAGGCCATACAAATGCAAAAGATATTGTATCTACAAGCGCTCTTCAATCCGTATCTCAACGCGTGCGCCTGAGTTATGACACGACGATCGTTTATTTATCGCGGTTGGTGACATTTCTCGACTCGGGCTTTCGGTGCCAGCGTGTCTGGCAAAAACAGCAGGACGACAAACCCACCAACCAACCAACCAACCAAGCGACCAACCAACCATCGAAACGAACGACCAGTTCCAGTTCCCATTGTATAAGATTAATACAAACTAGATCTCGGGTGAAATTTTAACTCGCCATTAAGCCAAATGGGAAGCATTGTTGGCAAGCGCTGTTGGCCATAAAGAACGAACCGCTACATATACAAATGCAAATTAATTAATTTGCCAAAAACCAGTTTGCTTTGTGGGTGAAGAGGGATCGGGATTTGGGATAGGGGATAGATCTTCGGGTGCTAAGTGGCAACTTTTACCGCAGCCAGATCAAAAGTAGAGCTGCTAGTCATACATATCTAAATCCCCCTCGAATGATCGATTAAGGAGATATCTGCATTGGCCAGCTGCACCACCCGCACCACCCGCTCTTCCCCGAAAAAAGAAGTCCCCAGTTCGTTCCCCCAGCCACATTTGCATACTCGATCGATCGGATTTATGTAAAGCCAAAATTAGCTCCTAAAACCAACATGGCTAATTAGCATAAATTAAGTTTTTATTAATTTGTGAGACAGTAATTTTCTTTTGTGCCACTCATCGATTTGGCGGTTGCGAACCAGACTTGGTGGCGCGGCCTCCTCTGCGATGGTAATCTTTCACCCAAAACCCATAAACTGTCCACTCGCCTTAATGGCTCTCCGTCTTTTACAGCCTTAAGTGCAAACATATAAAGCCGCAACGCCCACAAAGCAGGCTGTTTAAATCGCAAATAAGCCTAGAGACACTCGGCTTTTACGGGATTCGTCATTGATCATTGATCATTGTCAGGGCCAGGCTCTTGGCTTTTGGCTCTTGGCTTTCGGCTTTCGGCTTTTGGCTATGGCACATGTGCATATTTACATTTCTTTCTCGGTCACTCGTCCGATCTGTCTCGCAACTCATTTCCCTGATTGATGCGCACATTTTGAAAAGCTGACAGCGCCATAAATAAGATGCGCGGTCGGCGGCAAATGGTGCCTCGCATAAATGAAATAAATTAAAAAGCATAACTATAAAATCTTTCACCGAAACAGTCGCGTCAGCCCCTCTGACTCACAACAGTGACTAAAAGGAAAGGAAGGAACTGAAATGGTTTTCGGAGCTCACCACACAGCAAGAAAATTGATTATTATGCCTTAAAATTCATCATTTGCCTTTTTTGCTCTTCAATCAATTCATTTAAACTACTAATCGAATGTTAGCTATAAATAACGCATTTCTCTCCTTCTTGGTTTTAGAACTGAATATTAAATACAAAACAAATTCGAGCAGGTGTGTATTTATAATTCAGATATAGATATGACAAGCAAAAACAAAAATAAATATTTAAAAGAAATCAATTTTTTGTTAAACTGTCATTGTTTTGTTATCTTAACATATTAAAATATAATCCCAAATGATTGCATTTTTCCCTGTGCACCTTAAGCCACCATTAATCATTCGAGTTGTAAGTGTTCACCTTATCGATTGTCAGTCCCATTGACACTTGCTTTGTGTCCAGAGATTCCCGAACGAAAGTCTTGGGATAGGTTGGCACCCAATCTTTATCCACCGTTATCGGCCGTACATTATCCGAGTGAATAATCCACTTCGGACTCGTATGTTTCGCCTGACCAGTGTTAACCCGATTGAGGTGTGGTTCCGATGATGCCGACAGCCATTAGCGGACTTAATGCCATTTTTTACGATATATCGTAGCGAATACCAAATTTATGTTAATTGTATGCCAAACTTACACACAAACGAAAACGACACATCACAAGCCAAAGAAAAAGAAGAACACACAAATGGGCAACGCAATAGCAAACAAAACAGCCAACGATGACTGTACTTTCATTCACATTTGGATCGGAGTGTGTCGGGCAATTTATAAGATATATCTAACACTACTCACCTGCCCAACTCCTGACTTTTGGCAAGTAGTCGTTCCAGAACGAGCACCTGGCCGCCAAAGGACCTCTGGCCAATTTCTCGATCTTGTCGTCCGTGCTGAAAATATAGTAGACGGGATCCTCCTTGGAGAAGTTCGGCCATTCCTCGCCATCCTGAGCGGGATTGCTAAAAGGCGGGTAAAACATTTGATAAGCTTTCGTTATGGCAAGTGAGTGGTAAACCCGGCTAAGAGCGCCATAAAAACCGGCGAAAGCTCGAGGTGGGAAGCTTGGCGCGGAAAACTCACCCCGTCTTGGCGAACTCGATGACCGCACTCAGCATACGCTTTCCCAACTCGCGCTCCACAGGTCGATACTGCAAGGAGTTGTTCAGCGGCTGGCCGAAGAAGTACTCAATCTCGTCGCCGTGCAGCACGCCCATCCATTCGCCCCACAACGAGGTGCTCGTGCGCTGCAAAACAAAGAAGAGAAAAAAGAAAAACCAGGGGAAAATGAAAACAGTGAAAGAATATAAGCGAAAAAGCGCCAAGGAAAAGCCGTGAAAACGGGCCTGTCGAAAAATGAGAACTGTGCCGCGACGCTGTCGTAAACTCAGCCAGAAATTATGCAGATAAACATCTACCCTTTTTATTTATTTATTTGATTTTGCTCGCCTGCTCGCTGGCTGACTGCCTGAATGGCTAACTGGCCGACTGACTGACTGGCTGACTGACTGACGCTCCCTGTAAATTGTAAATATTGTCGCAGCATGCCGCGCACTGGAGCGGCGGGTAAAAAAACGAATGAATAAGTAAGTAAACGCCTGGTCGACTGCCAGTTCAGAGTTCAAGCATTCGAAGCCCAAACTCTGTCGCCCTTGACAGGCAGCGGCATTAAATGCTCTCGCGTGGCGCCCCTTTCACGTATCTCACGGCAGTTTGCACCGCAACGGCAACTACAATAGCAACTGCAAGTGCATCTGCATCTGCACATGCATCTGCAACTGGGGATGCGGAATTGCACGACAGGCTGTGGCAATAGGAACGTGCATGGGCGACCACATTGCGTATACGCCGTGTTGAGCGACTGCCCGTGTCTACGGTGTCAAGTCCTTAAACGTAAGCCTTCAAAATCCGGTGGATGAATGCAGGGAGTGGAACATTTAAACAAAACTCATCTTTTTTATTGATCTATGTTAATAATAAATTGTTGAACGTATCAGTTAATTGTTGGCTTTCGAAAAGGGGCAGAATTTGAACCACCGGAAAACAGAAATCAGTTTTATCAGGGATTCGATTAGTTCAGATTTGGGTTACTATTCTGAAAACTGGCGAACTCTTGGAAACACTGACCACGACCATCTCCGAATTGAAAAATTTGAACGGAGTTCATTTAGGTATTCCATCACAAACGTTTAAAGGTATGCCACTTTAGAATCGGATGAAATGTAACAAGGTTATGGGTTATGGGTCTCCTATCAGAAAAACATTGAAAATATTGGAAAAATCTGACATAAACAGTGGTCAAAATTTCAACCATCGGAAAATGAAAAATTTTGAATGCAATTTTATCAAGAATGCGATTACAAACTTTTAGAGTTATGCCACTTTGGAATCAGATTAAAATTGACAAAGTTATGGATTCTGGAATTGCATGACTTGGGAATCGAAATAAAACTGATAAAGTTATGGCTCTTAAACACTTCTGATATTATCTACATGGAAATTTGAAAGACTCGCCTAACGTATGTAGGCTTTTATTTGCTTTTTTTTTCAGCCAAAATGTAAAAAGAGCACGAATTGGATCAATAACTTTATTTAAATTCTTGGCAGTTGATGTTCTTCTAAAAAAGAACTTTCCCACAAAAGGTTGCTACTATTTTAACCTACAAACAAACAATATTTGAAGCGTACTTTTCGGCTTTACTGGGTTTAATTAAAGTCCGACTCCCTGCCACTATCCACTGATTTACATTATCTGCAACAGCCAACAACTCCACTCCAAAATGCTAATTAGGCTATCCTCTTGTAGAATGCAATTGCATGCAAAGCGAAAAACCAAAGCCGGCCAATGCGATTCAGTTGACCATTAGGCCTGGCCAAGAGCCGAGAACCGAGAGTCGAGAGGCGAAAGCCAAGGGCTGAAAGCTGGGGGCTAACCACTTAACCATTCAACTTGAGTTGGCCACAGTCGGCTCTGCTTGAGCTGCACCTTGACAGGCTGGCAGGCAAGTGCCAAGTCGCATAATGAATAGTGTCCGGGATATGCCGAGGGTAATTCTGATAATGCGGGGCTCTTGCTTTTGCTCTTGCTCCTTCTGCTCCTGCCAAGTCCTTTCGAAATTTATGCGACTTGGCCGTTGGCTGTCGGGGCACACGTCCCCTTTATATGTATGTTCACTCCATACACCAGCACATAACATAAATGTCCTGCAGTCCTTACGCCTTTTCGTGCAAATAATGAAAAATTGTACGCAACTGGAGCGGGGAACTAAACTTTTTTGATTTAAGCGCAAAATTGCAAACAGCAGAGAAACTTGGACGCGGAGGTCATAATGAGAAACGCCATGGTCGAGAGGAGTAGCAAACTACTACTACTGCTACACTGGAGTACAGTACAGTGGAGTGCGGCTAAAGGGGAGGAGAAGGAGAAGGAGGATGGGCAGCAGGAGTATCAGGAAGAGCTGTTGAGAAGGAAAACTTATTTAAGTGCCAGGCACGTTGCACGCTGCAGTAGTCAGTGGCGAATGGCGAAATGAAACAGCAACGGGTAACGGAAAAGGGGGCAGTGAAAATGGCTGGTGGAAAATGGAGGAAAAGTCGGTGGGCTGGTCAGTCAAGCATGTGGCTGGTGGCCGGTGGCCCCTGGACCTGGAACGCCCCCTTGGTGGCCAGACAGCCAAGCAGCCAGTCAGCCAAGCAGATAGACAATCTGGCAGGCACTTTAGCAGCTGGCGACCCCATTCGCCATGCTTCGTCGCCCCATCGCGGCCCCGTTTATGGGCAAAGTGAGTTACGAGTTCTGCTGCTGCAACTTGACGGCTGTAATTAAAACTAATTTCATTTGCTTTCATTTCCATTTTTGGGGGCAGCCATTCTGCTAGCCAGCCAGCCAGCCAGCCATCCAAGCAAGGCATCCAAGCCAGCTAGCCAGCTTTTGCCTGTCAACTGCCAGGCTATCGGATTATTAACGGGCGATTTGGTATAAACAATGCAGTCGAACTGGCGCCCCGCACGCACTCAGTTTGCATATTGTGCAATCAGCCGGAAGGAGCAACGACTCGGCGGGAAAAACAAGTTAATTATCACTGAAAACTGGAGCAAATATTGACCATAAATCAGAAGTGAAGAGCATTTTGTGCAGCACGCTGTGCAGTGATTTGTCATCTATTTGAAAAACTAACAAGTGATGTGGAAGCTAGATTACCCAGAAAAACTTTGATTTTATCACAACAGATAAGCCGAAAGTGTGGAACGGAATCTATTCGGTACCACTCGGCGTATGCGTAATATTGATTGGCAAGCGCCGTGATTTGTTCAGCCAAATTACCACTTATCATCGGTCAATATCGACTACGGTTCGTAGCATTTAGTGTATGTGTTGTGTTTCAAGGAATCGAAGCTAGCGAACGAAAATCAATAAATTATACAGGCCACGCGGCGTATACGCATTGCGAGAGCTGCGTATTTGTTAATCATTAGGCCGATTCAACTGGGCCTGCAACCAGCCGATATCAATCGACGTCGGCCGGCACCGCCGCAGCCAAAGTCGTTTAAACAAATAACTGACTGAAATTATGCCCCACACGTGCAGGGCATGCGGGCCGTGACCTCGTAAATTGAAGTTTCATTAGTCGACTCCGCTTCCAACCTCGTGCCCCCGCTACCACTGCTGGGTCGTGATCCAGTAACGATTGCCGGTCCTCTTTCCGCCCACTAGTTGTGTTCCTGTAGTTGTTGTGTCTGCCCGCAGCCAACCTCCTGAGCTTGGGCGTGTGCGTGTAGTTTAATTGGCGCCCAACGAGGGCTTTTGTGCATGTGGCGCCCAACGAACCGTTTTTCTCTGTGTGTGCGAGTGATTTTGTGTGTGTGTCTGTGCGAGAGTTCTTCACTCGTTGGTGGGCGTGTGTTGCGTGAAACTTTTGGCTACCATAATTATGGCGGCCAAGGTTGCCTGCCAACTCAACAACAGCAAGAACAACTTCCACAGCGACACCGACAATGACAACAACATGGACAACAACGACCCGTGCCCCGTAGGTGTGACATTATGAAGTCCAATCAAACGGATTGCACGCATACTGGCTGTCTTCAACAAATTGCTTGATTAATTGATAAATACACACGGTCTGACCGGACACGCCAAGCAAAATTGCACTTGGGAAAAGACCGCGACAGATATCTTGATTCGCTGGCAGTGATTTTTCAATCGGCACAATCATAACAAATACAGCAATTACGTGTACTCAAGTGAAGTCAGATCGAAGAAGTATGACGAATTATTGGGTTAATGAAATCGTTACGAAAACATTTACTCATCGTCTGAAAGGTCGGTATGAACGGGAATCCGATGTCAAGTAAAGGTTATTAAATTACAAGCATATTTAATTATTGTGATGTACTCAAGTGGCTTTTAATACTTCTTAAGAATAACCAAAACAATACCAATAAAACCTTCATATTTTTTTGACTACCAACTTTAACCTTCCTACCTTCCTGTTCTTGAACTTTTCATTACGTGAATAATTATAGACAATGAAATAACACTGACATGTCCTTACGTTTAACCTATTCTCGGCCAAAAGCAATCAACTCGGATTTGCTCCTGACCTCATTCTGGTTAAAGAACTTTCTTCTTTTTCCGTTGCAGATTAGCCGCAAGCTCTGCCTCAGGCACCTCCTCTTAACACCGGCATTTTCCACCGCCCCGCCATCGTTCAGACATTAATAATTAAAGTTGGCACAGTCGCGTTGACACTTGACGCAGCCGTGGCTGCCTTCACTGAAGATGCAACCTCAGTTCAGTACATCGTGAAAAAAAACATCTTGACAGATTCATTTTAAATTTAAATAAAATACATTTAAAAAAATTCCTCTCAAAATCTTAAACACCAAGTGCGTAAACTGTTTTACTCCTAAAGTGCTGCTTTGCAGGCAGCTTTTCTGTTAAATAAAATTTAGTTTTTGGACTAGAGGAGACATTTGTTCTCAGTGTCGACTAGCTGCGACAGTTATCCACTTTGGGGCCGAGCCTGACTGCTGCCTGCCATTAGCCTTGTGTGCAATTTTAATGACACGCAAATTGCAGTTGCCTGCGTTGCAGTGGATTCAGCGTGGATTTTTACGCCGTTGCGCCACTTGCGCCCCATTTGACCGCATTCCGATTGGACGCACGCGCTTCAACGCCATCTTACGTGTCAAAGCCTGAGAAATATTTAATGGCCACCCGGCCGTGCCGTCCGTTCGTTCGGTCCGGCTACAGTGGACACCCCCGTTGTGGTACTCACGTGTGTGAAGTAATAGTAGTGCACGGAGGCGCCCCGCTCCGCCAGAGCCTGGGCGTACTCGTTGGTGGGGCAGGTGAAGAAGTGATCGCCCACGGCGCGTCCAATCTGCTGTTGGTTCTGATAGCCCGGATTGCCCTCCCAGCTGGTGTACTGAAAAGGAGAAAGGAGGATTGTATTTAAAGTTTAATCTGTATAAGATACAAGGAAGAAGTGCAATCCCTTTCATTAAAAACCAATCGAGGCTTTCACAAAAGCCCCTCGCGAAGCGCCAATCATTGTCATTCGAGAATAATTAAACAATTGCAAAATTTATTTTACGTTAATTTTGTCACAAGAAAAAAAAAGAATCTGTTTACTTCAAAATGCTGGGTAAACATCAATGGATTCCCAACTCCACGGAAATTGAGTCCCAGTCAATCATGAAATGAAGTCATCTGTCAGTTTAGTCAATTTCCGTGACACTAGTTTGGAGGTTTTGGTTCGCTGAGAGCTAATCCTGGATTCTGTCCCGGCTCAACTGTCAAATGCATATCCACTGGTGACGCAAAATGCCGCAAAATGAAATTTCCCGGCGTCAGAACAGAGTAAATGAATAAAGCCACTAAATGCAATTCAATCAGCCAGCCGTCGCCGTTGACGTCCCATTTAACGTGTTTTGAAAATGCAGCGAATCTGCTGCTGACACGAAATTGTCGCACATTGCACTTAAAGGAATTTGGCTGACGCACTTTGGAAACATTTACTTTAATACTAAATTTATACAAAAAAAAGAATATATTTTTCTTAAATACCAGTTGAAACTGTCTGACAAAGGTTAAATTAAAAGTGCTTTATAAAATCAAAGCTGGTTCTGTCGTTTCAAAAACAAATTAATTAATTATTCTATTACCGGGAAATGTAAAAATATATGTATTTTCCAGTGCATCTGCCATGTACAGTTATGAACATATTGCTTTCAAAAGAATGCAAATGCGTAGGGGAAAGTTACCTGGAAAATGATGGCCTCGCGTTCCGCCTGCGTTGCCTTGCCGAAAATATTGTTCATAATTTCGAGATATTTGTCCCGTGGCAGGGCCGTGGCATCGTCCTTATCGAAGTAATCGATGAAATCGTACAGCAGGAAGTAAGTGCCTGTAAAGAAGAAGGGAGAAATGGAAATGGTTTAACCCGTGCGAGGTCATCTCATAACAATGCTGGGTGCGGAGTGACGCGAAGAGGGATGTTGGCCAATCTGGAAAAACAATTACCACTACAGGCGGCGCTTCAAGATGCCGACTCACAATGGAGGGGCCGTGCCAAGGACACCGCGCTCAGCATCAACCCCAAGTCCTTAGACCCACCAGCAACACCAACAGCAGTAACAACAGCAACATCAACAGAAACACCTACAACAACAGCAGCAGCAGCAGCAATCATAACAGTTTCAGAAGCCGAGGAGAAGTAAGTAAAAGAGTGCAAAATAGAATGAACCAAAAACTTGGGCCCCATACAACAACAGATGTTGAAACACTAAAGTAGACCATCAAATACCTGACCCTATAGGTTGGGTATCTTATTTTCATAGCTGAGAAAAAACTATTAAACTATAGCCGAAAAACTATTAAATTAAAACTAAAATGAACTAGGTAGTTTAGATACTAGGTACATCATCTTTAAACTAATAAAATTGAAAACTTGATTGCCATTATACAATTATATTTTAGCTATACATATTTATTGAATAAAAAACGAATAATATTTTCTTTGATTTTCTTATTAAACAACCACTCCTTTTGAATTTAGTAATACAGGGTACAGCTGGCAGGGCGATAAAACAAAGCGGTTCGTCGTTGCCTTTTATTAACTTAATTTTTATGGCACTTGTTGTTGGCCCAGTTGTTGTTCTCGGGCTTTTGTCTTTGTCGCACACTTCAAATACGGGCCACACTAACGAACCATAATTGCTGCCTATGAGCGACGACAGCAGCAACACAGCAGCAACAGCAACAACCAACAACAGCAACAATAGCAACACAAACAACAGCAACAACAACAGCACTTACAGCAGCAACATCAGGACAAAACACACAGTCGAGTGTCTGTGTGAGTGTGTGTGTGTGTGTGTGTGAGCGGAGGGCACGTGCAACCCATTCTCAATTTATCTTGCTGGCCCACTGTGTTTATGTTTGCTTCGATTCCATTAAGGTCAAAACCTTATGCAAAGCCAGGCACGAGGAGCTTTGACTTGAATGGCAAACAATCTTGAAAGCGCCGCCTGAAACTGTCGCTCACTAAAGTCGATAAGTATTTCCCGGAAAAAGGGTAGAGCCAAAAAATGGGTTTACATTAGGGCTTGAATCGTGACACTTTTAAAGTCCCACATTATAATCGCATCGCAAAAGAGTTGAAAAAGATTTTTTGATTTATGATTTCTTTAATTTGCATAGCTATGCCAGTGTTTTCTAAGCCATGTCGAAACGACCTTGCGCTTTTAAACTATTACTGGATGTCGGGGCATACGCTTTTAATTAAATTGCCAACAACACACTCACTCTGTGGCCACAAATTTCTCGGCTTTTTTTGCGGCAAATCTCACTCCCTCTCACACGCACACACAGGCGAAATGTAAATACGGTTTTAATGAGTGTATAATTGAGTTAGCAGCAGCAGCAGCAGCAACAACAACAAAACCCGGCTGATTCGGCGGAACGTTGGCCACGCCAGAGGCGGAATTCAGGACTCGGGACTACAACTACGGAGCCGGCGATAAGTTGGCCGTCTCGGAACGCGAAGCAATTAACGAGCAAACAAGCTAGCTGTCTTACACACACACCATTAAAGGAGGCACAACCACACTCACAGCTAGGCACACATACTCACTCATGACGTGGAGCATGCAATCGCGAGTCGAAGGAACTGCCACCAAAAATGAATTATTTAAGCACCGAAAGTTGGCGCCTTGCTTTCGTTGCATACTTTTTGGCTGCACTTCAAAGATTCTCAGCCCGAAGAAAACTCTTAATTCAGTTGAAATTTTTAAGTTATTTGACAAACTTTCCTTGCTTTGTTTGTCTTTAAAAATTAAAGAAATATGTTGAACTGTGAGTTGCTATTTTTGTTTTATTCTTTAACAGTTTTTTGTTTGAAATCAATGCTGAATAAAACAAAATTTCAAAGCACTTTGCCCAGGGCATTAATTTATTTAAATATTTTATTTAGCACTGGCATCTAAAACACACCTTTAAATATATAAGTAATTATATAATATGTATATGAAAAATAAGGCGACAAAGGGCGACTGAATTTGTCAAAAACAAACAGAAAAGGATGCTTTTATGTGCGCGGCTCATCGTAATGTATTTGAATTTTGTATTCGTATTGTTGCAAATGCTAGATGACCTTGAACTCACAAACACAAACAGACATACACATACGCACACACGCTCAGCTGAGTAACGGTACTTTTGTACCCATGGAAAATGGTGGCAGTTGCCTGGCAGTCATGCACGCACACCTTTTTGTCCAAGAGAAAATAGAAAAGAGAACGCCGAGCGGCAAGCGGCGAGCGGCGAACGGTAAATGGAAAACGGAGAGCGAACGGGAGAGAGCGGCAGGAGCAGAGAGAAAGCGGAAAGCAGCAGCTGTGAGCAATGAGTGAAAGTGAGCAGAAAAGCACACGTGTCTGCTGGCTTATTCTGCTCCTGGCAAGACAGCCGCAACAACAGCAACTAGCAACCAGCAACCAGCAACACCAACAACAGCAGCAACATCCATGGGCCAACAGCAACAAGAAAATCGAAGGGAAACCCAGGGCCAGAGCCAGAGCCAAAGCCAAAGCCAAAGCACGAACTGGCACAAAAGCACCGAGAATCTTCTTCAATCTGTTATACGAAAAACACAACCCACAAAAGGACCCGCCACCCACCGAAATGCCACCCAACGACATCCTGCGGTGGCGGCTCGCGAAATAATAAGAAAAGGAAAACGCAAACGGAAAATTTGTTACAAGTGCGCCACTTACACGGCCTGGCACGGAAAAGCTGGCAACACAATGCACACAAAGAGTTACGCACCAGATTGAGAAGAATAACAGCCAGCGAAGAAAGGATACGGAAAATGAGGAAAAAGATGGGAAAATCAACAGCAGCATTTCGCAGGAGGCCACGTTCCCAGCCCAATTTAGTGCAGCTTTTCTAATACAAGCTCGAATTGAAATTTATTGGATAGAGCAAACCTTTAAAAAATGTTCTTAACGTTTTTTATTTAAACGTTTTTTCATTATATTTTAAATGAAGACTTTGCCTGAGCAAATTATCGAACTAAACATTAGAAGTATAAGCCAATATTTGGGCGAGGCAAAAGTATCATACCAACTAAAACCCTTTTATCAAATTTGCATTGCAATTAGGAAACAAAAACAAAATATTATCCAAAAAATACACATATTTCATTGGAATGAAAAACAAGCAGAAAGGGCTGGCAAATAGCATCTGTTTGTTGATTTAGGGACTTGAGTCATGCAATTATATTTAATACGAGTACACATGTGCTAAATTGCTGCATTTTTTGAATTAAATTTAAATAAAGTTCACTATTTTCGATAATTTCTAGGGCAACTATTTTTTCCTACAGTTGATTTATTTTGAATCAGTATAAATGTGTATAAATAGGTTCAAATTCTATTGTGATTTATAGCGAACCTTCTTTGTAGTTTAAACACTTTTCCTCGTTTTGGCAATAAAAAATAATTACAGTAGCGAACTTTAACTCAACTTTGAGCGGTAATAGTTTTCCGCCCCTCTCTTTAATAAAGGTCGCCCCTCCCGGAACCCCCTCGTGTCATTCGATAATGCTGTGGCACGTGTGGCACTCACGCGTCCCGTTCCGCCCATCAAGTTGAGGGCTCGCTTTTTGCTTTCGCTTTTCCACCCAGCCACCCAACCACCCACCGCCCCCCGCTGTCACCTGAGCGAAATATATTTAAATAATTTATGATGCCGTCCCGCACAGCTGAGCGCCATATCTGAGTGCGTGTGTGTATGTGTGTGTGTGTGTGCGTATGGGTACGGATGTTTTTCCTTTTTTCCCGGGGTCACCGCAATTTGCGTGGGCGAGTCTGGCAAGTTTCGGCGGCTTTGTGTGCGTTTTTTTTCTGTATTTTGACTCCGGCAATTCCGGTGCGTTGACACATGCCCGTACTCGCAATTTCAAGTTGGCAAAAACGTAAATCGTGTTTTTCTGTAGCGAAAGGCGTAGACATTAAAGCCAAGTCCAGAAGGCATTTTAATACTCAACCCTAATTATATAGTACCTCTTTAATATAATATATCTGCTTAAAAACCTCAGTTATCTCCTAGTGGTTACCCAAACCACCATTTAACTTACACTTGCACCATTTTAAATTTAAAGTTCACGAAACTCGTAATTCGAGTGCGATGTTAAGAGGGGAAAAGGCAAGAGGCAAAGCCAGAAAAGCCAAAAATACAGAACATTACACAAAATGCAGTTCTGCGACAGCCAACGGAGAACTAAGCCGGGCACAATGTAACCACCACAACCACTGCCGCTCCGCCGGTCCCCGAAAAAGCCACTAAACCCTCGATTCGCCGCTCAGTGTCATGCAATAAACCATAAAAATTAAGCACTCGAGCCAGCGGAAAGTACCACCGAATGCATTACGAGGGGAAATTTCTGAAAGGCAGCCGGCGGTGGCTAAGCCACCTTCCCGTTCGTCCCTTCCACTTTTCCGCCCGGTAAAACGACAAGAATAAAATGCATTTTGTCTGCCAGCCAGGCCACAAACAAAAACTGTGTATAAATATATGTATAGTTGCAGAAAAGTAATAAAATCTCAAATGGATGCGATGCAGAGCTGCGAGCTGCAGTGCAAAAGTTTTTGGGGCACGGAGGCAGGAAGCTGGGCTAAAAAGCTTGGCAAACAACATTGGCATTGGGTAGTGAGTGGTAGGTAGGTAGGTACTTTGTTTTGGATAAAGTTTAGCGCTGACGTCAGCCGCAGAGGATGCAACAATGGCGGCAAGGACGACCCAGAAAACGGGTAGATAAACAGACCGCCAGATGAAGATGAAGTCACAATGCAAGTAGGATTTGGGGGGAGGGGGAATCCTCGCTGGGTCCTTAAGCGAGCGCACTCACCCTCATCCCGGACATTTCCCATCAGGATGTCGTAGTCCTTCAGATCCGCCGTCTTCATCAGCGTCATGGGATCCGCCGGCAGGAAGGCTCCATCGATGGTCGGCGCCGAGGGGAAGCTGAGGATGCCCGAGTAGGAGTTCCACTGCTGCACCGAAATGGTCTTCGCGTCCACCGACCGCATGCAGCTCATCACGTCAGCGGGATTGGTCTGGAATTGGTGGTTAAAACATAGATTACAATTATAAAATTTGGTTGAAATTGTACACTTTCTAACAATGTTGAAAGATTGCTAAAAACGAGGGGAACCTTTATATTAATACACCAGTTTTCGCTTTAAAAGTAAATAAGCGGTTTAACTTTTATACTTCCAATTTAGAATGTTCCGCTTTATTAGTTTTTTATTTTTAATCTTTTTTAGCTATACTTTAGTAATGGTGTGATCTATTTATGGTATTAAAAACTCGTGCGTAATGACTCTTACATGAATAATAAATAGTATATATTCACAGAACAATTCCTTGTTCTTTAAGACACCCAACTCACCTTCAGCATGGAGGCATTGCAGTTGCAGTCGTTGATCAGCGCCTTGCCGATCTCCACCGCCTTCTCGGAAGTCATGTGGCTCCAGGGGGCGTTCATGGTGCCCGACTGCATCATGCCCCTCTTGACCAGACCCCTGGTGACCGGCGACATGAGCTGTGCGTTCACCGAACTCGATCCCGCCGACTCCCCGAAGAGGGTCATCCACTCCGGGTTTCCGCCGAAGGCGTGGGCGTTGTCCTTCAGCCAGCGGATGGCCAGGGCCTGATCCCATAGACCCACGTTGCCGGGGGCCTCCTCGGCGAACTCCGAGGGCATCTCCGGCGACAGGTGGAGGAAGCCAAAGGCTCCCACGCGGTACTGGAAGGAGGCCACTATCACGTTGCCCACGGCGGCCATTATGTCCGCGTTGTAGATGTCCAGGGTGGCCGATCCGGTCATGAAGCCGCCTCCGTAGATCCAGATCAGGATGGGCAGTCCGTTGGTCGTGTTCTGCGGGTTGCCGTTATGGATCAGGTGGTCTGTGTCCGCCTGCTTGCCATTGGCGTGCTGGATAGAGAATTAGAAACAGGTTAGTCAACTTTTAAGTTTCAGATTATGTTCTTTGCAAAAGTGTTTTAAAACGAAAGAATTTCTAACTTTATATTATTTATTTATTTAATGCAGTGTATTAAAGAAGAAAACCCATTTAAAAAAAAAACAATTTTGGAAATAATAATAAAAACATCAAATTTAATTGCAAAGCGCTGTAAAATAAATAAATATTGTAAAGACTTATTTGCATATACCCCTTTTTATTGATTTATTTGTTGTATTTCTCACTAGTTTCTTGGCATATAAATAATGCATTTATTTCAAATAAAACATTTTTTCTCTGAATGTTTCTGTTGTTGTTGGGGGAAGAGTGTTCACCCCCACTTACCTCGCCCCCGTTGGCACCCCGCCCATGGCGGAGTCGGGCCTTCGCCGGCGCCCAGACATTGATGTAGAGGCAGTCCTCGGACACATTCGTATTGGGGTTCCAGATCTCCTCGCCGGAGAAGCCCGGGAAGTACTCGTAACTGGGTTCCGGAATGGAAAGGAAAGCAAAGCAAAATAAAGAAGAAGAGGAAGAGAAGAGAATAGAGTTCTTGATTAGCTAGTGACCCATATGCAAATCAAAGGCGCTCGTCCCCCATCCGAAATTCGGTCATGCCAATTACGAAAAACTAACCGGCTGTGTTATTTATTTTTATTCGGTCTCTCTTCCGTTTTGCTCCCATTTGCTCTCACTCAGGGCTTTGTTTCCCACAAACACTATTACACACACTCCCACACACTCAGACACACACACACACCTCGAAGTTCCCCTCAATTTGACATAGTTTTTCCGCCTTATAAATGTTGAATCGCCCGAATCGATATCCCTACGCATTCGTACTAAGCTCAGCATTTGTCTGTCCGCCTCTACAGATACTTCCTATGGCATTTCTATATGTCGGTGGGTGTAGTATGGTATGCTTAGGTGTGTTTGGCTTCGTGTCCATTAAAATTAACTTTGCCGTTTCGCATAAAAGTAATTTATCACAGGCAGAGCGAAGAGGCGATTTGAGTTCGCAACGCCAGCTGCCATTCGCCTTTATCACTATATTTTTCTAATTTCCTTTTGCCGCACAACACACACTTTGATGACTTTTCCTTTGGGGTGCGGAAAAACTTTGCTTCTCTATTTCAAGAGCGAAGGCAAACCAATCGAAATGAGTTTGATTAAATAAACGAAGCGAGACACAGGTAAGCTTTTATTAAATATTTAGTCCGGTTGGAATTCCATTCCATTTAAGCAATACAAAACTGATGCTGCACAACGATAAATTCGGTTGAGTTTTATTGCAAAGATCAATTAAGGTGACCTCTATACATAGCCCTTAAATAAATAAAATATTTTATCTCCGCCGGCTGTATTTCTGCAAACAATATATTTCATCCTCCCCGCAAACATTGAAAGGCAAACAGAGGGTGATTGCAATTGGCAAAGCCAACATGCTGGGCAAAGTTGTGAATTGGCTTTTTCCGTTTTGACCGGCTTTTTGCATGCGGCGGTATGACGTCATTGGTTAGGTCAACAGAGAGCTGCCGCTGCCGCTGCCGCTGCCGCTGCAGCCGGGCTGCGATTCGCCTTTCTGGGTCAAACGCCCAAGTGGAGCGTGCCAGAATTTCAGACTGCCAGAAATACAGAATGCCAGAGCTCCAGCAATCCGCTGAGCCAGCGATGACAAATGGTTTATGTTTCCGGAAAGATGTGACCCCTTTTCGTTTTTGCTTGTCAAAAAATATATTTTTTAAGAAGCTTTATGGAAAAATCCACGTGCAGGTTGGTAAATTATATCCCTGTGCCAGTTTATTTGTGCCTCGTAAAGCGCAAAAGCTCAGATACAGAAAATCATAAACTATAAAAACCGATCGCAAGCTAAAAAAAGTTGATAAATTAAACCCGAAGCGAAGGCCGTCCAATTTTAAATAAGCTTATCAACGAAACCTTTATTTTTGTAAAATTCTTAATAAAATTTTAGTTGATTTGTTTTTTAGGAAAATTCTGTACTCGACTAATAGTTTCACATCCTTTGCTTAATGCACTCTTCTAGGTGGTTATTCATATTTAAAACTGTGCTGTAAACCCTCTTCGAACCTCCCGACTTAGTGAGACTTTTTTAAGTCACCGAGCGTCCAAAGCTGGCTTAACTTAATCATAAAACCCCCAGCAAGACTGAAGACTTACCGCTCTTGGACGCAGGTGGCGGACAGCCGGGTGGCGTCGAGGACGCCGTGCCAGGCATCCGCCGGAACCGGTTTCCGGAAGCGCAGGTTCTCGACGGGCGGCTTGGCGTAGGGGATGCCCGTGTAGACGTGCACCTCCCGGCCTTGGACCGTTACGGAGCGACCGCGGACGGGTCCGGAGGTGGTCTGCACCACCAAGCGATCGATGACGCCGCAGACGCCGGACAGTTGCAGCGACAGCAGCAGGACGAGGGGCAGGGCGAGGCTGGGGGGCAGGGACATGGGCAGGGAGAGGGGCAGGGGCAGGGGCAAGGACATGGGCAGGGGCAGGGAGGTGCTCTGCCGAACGGAGGCCATGACGCGGATGCGCAGGGCGGCGACTTCTGGCGATGACGATGGGAGATGTCCTACTTTGGCCTGACGTCACTGGCTCTGTTTGCAATCCTCTTGGCGGCGATTCGCGCGACTCGTAGAATTCGGAATTTGGAATTCGAAATTCACACTTGGCGACTTCTGCACACCAGTGGGTAACTCGAACTGCGGATCTGCGGAACGGCGGAACTGGTGTCTCTGGCGAAACGGGGATGCCTGGCCGGCGCTGCAAGCCGCATCCACAACTTATTATCCGGTTGGGTTCGCCAACGCTGCCAATGCCACAAATGCCACTTGAAGCTGCCGCCCGTGTGCTGCACTACACATTCTCCCGCCGCAGCAGCTGCGGATTGCTGAATGCGGAATGCGGAACCCGGAGTCACGCAGTCACGGAGCTAGCAACTTGGATTTGAATCTGAATCTGAGCCCGACTGTTTGGATACGGACTGGAATTGGGGTCTTCTGTTGGGTTTCCCGTGCAGCTGTTGCACTTTTGCAGCGCCCGTTCCGGCTGCTCGGCTTTTGTTCTCCGGCTCCGGCGTTTGTTTGAACTGCAAACAGAGAGAACAGGCATTAAACTATTTGTCTCGGTTTCCCAACCGGGTTTTTCTATTGCTGTGGTTGCACAGAGAAAAAATAATGAAGTCAATAGAAATAGAAAATAAATATCTTATTTAATTGATATCAGTTTTGTTATGCATTCTTCGAGTAATTGGTTTAGCAATTCAAACAAAAACTTTTAAAGTATATATGCCGAATTAAATTTGTACTTATGCAGTATTCTGATAAAATATCATTTAATGGTATAAAGATTATTTGTACACAATTTAACGTAATGTCAGAATATTTTTCCTTATCAAAATATGAATTTAATGGATTTATTCTCAGTATCCTGTCACCGCACATAGACAAACACAAGGACGAGTTGACTTGTTGGGTGCTTGTGCCGTCTGCCCCCGTTTGTCTGCTGCAGTATTTATGTGTTTGCCTTTGGGTTAGTGTATGTGTGTGTCTGTGTATGTGTGTGTGTTTACCACTTGAGCAGAGATGCAAAGCTGCCTCCTTTCTTGGTCTCGGTTTGCATTCAAAACTTTCTGAGTGCCACCTGTATCCACCCAGCACCACTGAGCACCAGCAGCGCCATTACCCACATCGCACATCCCACATGCCACATCCCACATCCACATGCCACACACCTGCAGCATGCCACTCACTGAATCCTCTCGAGTGGGGCATATCGCTCTCTAAGGCTTTGCCTGCAACGTCGTTAAACATATTTTCTTATATGCTTTCATTAGAGTCACTTGACCGATTTAGGCAAATATCTTTTCAAAGCCGCAGCAGTCGGATAAACCAATGGAACCCCGGGGCGTTTGTGTCAATTTGAAGTTTGTGGCATTGATGCAGAAGCATGGAAAAGCTTTACCAACATTAAAAAGTTAGAATGGGGGGAAAACAACTATTTCAAAGGAAAACTAATTAAAATGAAATCTGCTAGAAAATAGTTACTGTTGGAAATAAATGACGAAGTTTTAACTAGATAACAAAATGAATTTCCACTTAGTTACTACGCTCTTTTAAGAGAAAATATTTCCAATATAAATAAATAAATAATCCTAGTTCTTAAAAGTTTTCATACAAATTTCATTAAAGTTACATACTCAAGAAAAAGGCGAGTTTAAGTTGTTTTCCCCGTTTTCTGTTTCTGAATTCGGGAGGCTGTAGTTTTGCTGAAAAGCAAACATTTTCCCTTAGCAAACGGTTTTTTCCATTCATGTCCTTGACGTTTGCAAACTGCAGCGACAGCAGTTCCTGGCGGCGAATTAAGCCAAGAAATTCGACTCGAATTCGGACTGAGCCTTGCATGCTGACAGTCCATTAGACGGGGCTTCTGTAATAACACCGCTGCCACGCCCCCTGCAGTTGCAGCGCCCTAAGTCCTGCGGCTGCCTTTGTAATCCCTTTGCTCGGCAACTTGTCTGCAAATGCGAAAGGACAAAGAAACCAAGAGGCTTTCTCAGCTGGCGCCGCAGTAATTTAAATGTTTTCCAGCCGCACAATTAAAATGGCATTAAGACGCCACTAAAATGCGAGTTGCAGGTTGGCAATTTAATTCGCTCTCCAGTCCCTTTCCCAAGTGCACATTTTACCTAAATTAGCTTAATTTTCTTGAGGTTCTTTGCGTTTTCCTCGAGTTTCCGCGGCAACTGTGGCAGTCTTTCAGTCGCTTTTCCAAGGGTTTTTCAACATTGTCGCTGTCTGTTACTCGGGAGATAAGACGTCCCGGCCTAAGTGAATATTTTCTTAATTCTTGCGACTGCAGCAGTTTTTCCCCTCCGTTTTTCCGAGTCGCAGTTTCCACTAGAACTTTTCCATAAACATGCGCATTTTTTTACCCCGGCCAAGCAGGTTTTATTTGAGAGGGGGCAAAGCGACCAGAAGTTGTATTTATCTTATTTTATTTTATGTCTGCCAGCGCCTGGAAGCCCGCAATTTAAGCGCTTAGTTTCAGCTGGCACAAGCAGTTTTTCTTGCCAACTGTCTGTTCATAAAGTTGCAACTTCAAAGTTGGCTCAAGCAGCCACTAAAATCCCGGCAAGAGTGTTTAACTGAGATGAGAAGCATTCTGAGTTTAATTCGACGCAACAGCAGAGAAAAGTCCATATTTCATGAGCTTGCTTTGATAATGCCAAGAAATGTGCTTCTAAGCTCAAATAATCTTCGCTGTATATGGAAAAGCACAAAGTAAACATCACTTGCCGATTTTATACTGACAAACTGAATATGAGAATGGATATGGCAAAAATATCTGGTTATTTCAGCATCTTAATTTATTCGCAGAGTGCAGGAAAAATATCTCAAATATTTTAATTGAAACGTACATGTTGTGTTTTTATTGTGGCACCAGTTTTTCTGTGCAAATACGAGTGTTGCATAGTTTTTCATGTTTTGTTTTCGCTACAACTTTTGCCTTTTCCATGGAAATCCCCCCAAACGCTGTCATGGATATGATAACCCACTGAGCGGGACAGCGATAGCCGGAAAATGAGCGTTAGAAAGAGAGGGTGAGAAGCGCGAAAATTTTAATGACATTCAAATTAAATTATAATTTCAAAAGTTTCGGCGTGCGGGGCGCGTTGCTGATGACGACGATGACAAGGACATGACCAGGTGGCACAGTTGAAAAGCTCCCCTCCCACCGCCCCCCTTTTCCCCATCCCCCACCCCCTCATTCGGGTCAGCTTTGTTAACCAAAGGTCACAGAAACGGCAGAGGAAAAAAGGTTTGGCCAACCCAGCGAGCCCTCCGCTGCTCCCAATCAACTTTCTCTATTTTCCCCGCATTTCCCACCTTGCCCCTTCTGCCACCCCCACCGTTTGTTTATTTCCTTTGCGTTTGTTTTCAAAATTTGGCAAATGCTGAAAAACATGGCCAACGACACAACGAGACGGTAAAAGCCAAAGGGTAAACAACACAAAAGCAAACGAAACAAAAACAAAGACAAGAGACACCGAAAATGGCGGGGGAAGGTAAGAAAAGTCGGAAAAGCGGTGAGAGATGGAGAAAAGTTAACTGTGTTTTGTTTGTGTTTTCATTTTTTGTTTACGGGTTTTTCATATTTGGGGTTCGTGTTGTTCCCATTATTGTTGTTTCACTTTATTTGTTTGAATATCAAACCATATACTACGCAAAATAATCCTATAATTTTTAAACAAACTTTGTCTGAGTTAGAAAATAATCTATCTAACTCGCTGTTATTAAATTTTACAAATCCACTGAAAAATAGTTTTTAATTTCTTGAACTTATACATAATATTTTTTACATTCTTTTTAGCAGTGTATAAAGTTGAATGTGTCTGGTTTAATTGATGAGTTAAAGAGGGTTGTGGCGGGAAGGTAGACCGCCAGTCAGCGAGTCTAAATTGATTCCCAAAGCAGCGAGTGAGGGACAGGTGTCCATTAACCGCCGAATACCTAAAGGAATATTGGCTAAAATTGTGTGACTTGCTCTATAAAAATGTTGGAGGCAAAACAACTTTTATGTTTTTAGCCAGTCGTCCTTAGAGAAAATGTTTGAAAAGCAGCAGAATTAAAGCGAGGATATAACATGTGTATCTCGCCGGGCAAATCTTATTCAATATTTTTCAGGCCATTTCCATGCATTCTCTTCCGGTCTATAAACCGCCACGCAATCATTAAACCCCGAAAAAATATGGCCATCTGCTTTAATGAGGCACAATCATCATCAAGTTTTCACTGACCATTTGACCTTTTCATTTGCCAGGCAGCAGGACTCCGATCACAGGCCTTTAGCCCGGCCATTAGGCGAATGTCTGGCGCCAGGCAAACTATAAAATAAATGCTGGGGCGTGGCAGAAAGGCGTTAGAAAAACAAAGGCCAGTGCTTTCCCAGGAACCAAATTTTATCTTGTGATAGAAACTGCTGTGAAACAAAAACTTGATCCCTTTAATAAATTAATTTATAACAATTATTTTAAAGACATGAGAAAACGGAATAATGATTGAATTTATGATTACACACTATACCCAGAATTTAATACAATTAATAAATTGTAAAACAATAAATAAAAACATAATCCATCGAACACCAATTGTATTATTAATGGTTAATAAAAATGGTTTCTTATAATGGCAGAATTAAAAGATAAATTTTTTATGAAGAGTTGTTATGCATTTCAAACGAAATTATTGTTCCAGTACTAAAATTTGTTTGTTAAAACCAATTGCAAAGATCGTTTATTTTAATTTTTGCAGAGGCACGAAAAGCGGTTAAGATTTCCATTCAACTGAGTTCTCTATTCGTGAGGCTATGTGCAAAAAAAAAAAAACTAGCGTCGAAATTGCACAGCATGAGACGAAAAAAAAACTGTGAACCGGAGGAGGCAGCCAGTAGCGCTTAGTTTTTTATTGCATGGCGCCGCATGTGGCGGCTGCGGCGATTGAAGTGACCCCTTGTGGGACAAGGGGGGTATTTTCGACAGGGATGGGGATGGCAGGAGGTGGAAGTGGGTGGCGCCGGCAGTACGTCCGGTGCACGAGTTTGGCTTTAGTGGCTCTCGCCCGTCACCGGTGCTCGTTAACGCTGAGACGCTCAATTTAGCGCGACTTATTCAGGTTGGCGCTCCGGTTGCCCCTCTCGCCTCCGAGTGACTGACCTTGATGATATCACCACCACAGCCATGTCGTCGTGGCCATCGTCATCCCAGGCCGCAGTTCCCTTCCTGTTCCTCTGACTCTCTCCGTTTTCCTTTCTTTCCCAACCCACACGGAGAAAATTGACAGAAAAACTGACGATTAATCGAAATCGTTTCCCTAAAATAAATGTATATTAAAACTCTGTCAATTCATTGATCCTACAAAGGGGTAATTTTCAATAAGGAAATAGTTGATTAAGAGGCTTCTGATAAAAATTAATTAATAGCTATAATATTATCTTTTAATAGCAAAATAAATATGAAAATGAGTCAGCACATTTTTAATATTGTATCATCTGTACGATACAAGTCTTAGGATTCTTTCTAAGCCTTGT